TGTGAATACAGCGGTAGGGGTCGGGTTTGAGGGGTGAAGAAAGGTGAGGGGTGGTGGCACCATCAAGGTGTTTCTAGGGTAGAGAGAGGTCGGAGTGATTTTTACTCTGGTTTTAATTGGGACGGGGTGGTGGTGGAAACAAGGGAAGGAATCCCTAAACGACCTTTCCCCCCCCTTCTTCTTCATCTTTGGTAGAATGCAGCTGACGTTCCCCCCCCCCTTCAAATATGCCCTAGAAAGGAAAAAAAAAAGTTTCTCCAAACTGGTTTTTGTTTGAACCTGGACCTACCAGGACGCTGGTGTAAGCCTACCCTCAAATACGATGGGGGGTTCATTACAGCAGCTTCACTTAGGAGAATGTGGGAGAAATGCTTCCTGAGCAGCCTTCCTCCCTGTGGTGTTTTTCAGGTATGTTGGCCACCAATGATTATCATCCTCAACTCTGCTGGCTGTGGGGATGGAAGCCCCCTAAAAGGCAGCAGGATGGGAGAGGCTGGTTTTAGGTCCTACACTTGCTTCTGTACTATATTGTCCTTCACATAAATAACGTCTATCTTATAAGTCATCAATTTTAAAAAGACAGGAAGCTGGTAACCTTAATGATTCTTTAAATGAGCTATATAGAAATGCATGTACACCTAATCAATTCATCTTTAACTGGTGTTCTAACGAATATGTCAAAAATGCCATTTGTATTATAATGAATTTACTGCATCAATGTCTATAGTAGTACCTTAAGCTTAGATCCTGACTCTGTTAAGCAAATAACTATGCAAGCAGCTATCAAACTTAATAGCAGCTGGCAATCCATAATTTTGAAGGGACTGTTTAGATAAGTCACAGCCCAATTTATTTTTCCCAGTGTTTGCAAGATTAGTAGTGAGGATGGTTAAGAATTGTGATCTTGCTTGAAGATGGTCTTTTCTGTTGACATTTAAAATGTGTTATAGGGTATAATTAGTTATGAACTAAAAAAAAAAACATACCTTAGCCATGAACTAAAAGGCAAACAAATGTGTACTCTAGAACAGCGGTTCTCAACCTGTGGGTCGCGACCCTTTTGGGGGTCGAACGACACTTTCACAGGCCTCACCTAAGACCATCGGAAAACACATATTTCCGATGATCTTAGAAACTGAGACACCGCTCCTCTATCTGGCCGCCGCTGCTGACCTCCTCCGCCAGCTCCTCTGCCTCCAGGGCGACCTTCTCCTCCGACAGCGCCTGCTCCTGCCGCTGCAGCGCCATCGCGCGCACCCCCGACGCTGTCCTGGGCTGGCTCAGCGGCTGGTCCAAGCCGAGCTGGGTCTGGGCCGCTGCTGGCACTGCCGCTGGGCTGCTCTGCTGCTGCCGCCGCTACCGGCTAAGCTGAACTGCAGCGCCGAGCCGGTCTCCATGCCTCCTGGTTGCCCGGCACGCTCCGCCGCCGGCTGCCCTTCGTGCCACGCGGGAGCCTCCTGTGCGCCGCCTGGGCAGCCTCCCTTGCCATTGGAGGCCACCTTGGCCCTCTGGTGCCCGGCACGGCCGTGGGGCTGCCAAGCAGGAGCGGCTCCTTCCCGGCTCACCGGGCTCTGGACCTCGGAAGCGGCCAGGGGGCGGGGAAGAGGGCGAGGCAGCGGCGATGCCCGCATGTGTGTTGGAGGCCAGTTGGCTGGGCCGGGAGGGGAGAAGCGGTGCCTTCCGAGCGGGAGCTGGCACTCCGGCCGTGCCCCTCTCATGTGCGATGGGCTGCGCGGCGTGGAAAGGGGCTCCAACGACCCTGCCGCTGCGATGGGGCTCAGGAGGCTGGAGGGGTGGGCAGGTCCTGAGGGGGTGGCTGGGAGAGGGCAAGCAGTGCCGGGATAAGGATGGGGGGCTCCAGGTTGGCGGGTGTGAGAGGACAGCCAGCGGCTCCGAGGTGTGCGGATCCTCCGCGCAGCTTCCAAAGCCCCGGATATGCCGCCGCTTGGCTCTCCACCAGGCTCTCTGCCAGAGCCTCCCCCCCTCCCCGGGCAATTGTGCGGAGCTGCTTGTGCGTCCTTGGCAGTGTCTCCCCCCTTCAATCTCTCTCTCCTTCCTTCCTTCCTTCCATCCATCTCTTTCCTTTCCCCTTCAATCTTCCTTCCTTCCTTCCATCTCCATCCCTTCCCCTCTAATCTCTCTCCTTCCTTCTTTCCCCTTCAATCTCCTTCCTTTCCCCTTCAATCTTCCTTCCTTCCATCTCCATCCCTTCCCCTTCAGTCTCTCTCCTTCCTTCCTTCCTTTACCCTTCAATCTCCTTCCTTCTCCATCTCCTTCCTTCCCCCTTCAATCTTCCATCCTTCCTTCCTTCCCCCTTCAATCTCCTTCCTTCTCCATCTCCTTCCTTTCCTCTTCAATCTTCCTTCCTTCCTTCCCCTTCCCTCCCTCCCAACATTTTTGAGCAAGGAAGAGCAAGCTTCTCCAGCGAGCATTGCTATATTGTTTTTGTGATTAATCACTATACTTTAATTATGTTCAATTCGTAACAATAAAAATACACCCTGCATATCAGATATTTACATTACGATTCGTAACAGTAGCAAAATTACAGTTATGAAGTAGCAACCAAAATAATTTTATGGTTGGGGGTCACCACAACATGAGGAACTGTATTAAAGGGTCGCGGCATTAGGAAGGTTGACAACCACTTCTCTAGAAGTACCAAAATAGCTGAAATGTACATATTTACTGAAGGATAAAAATGCTGTAGAACAAGAAGATCTTGAAGGCATTGTCTCAGTGGTCTGACAAATATAAAGAAGGAAACTGTTCAGCAGAAATGTGAACTTTTAGTCAAAAAACGCCCATCTGATAAAAGAAATGAAGGCAAGTACAGTATAAGAAAAATAAAATATGGAATAGTTGGATAGGATAAAAACATGATAGGTGACTTCCGGTTTTGCGTCACGGTGAGATGGTATGCAGGAAGGCAGGGCTCTGCCTTCCATGCCTGGTTTTGCCCTGCTGGGGCCCCTTAAAAGGGCCTAAAGTCGCCCTGAAGAGGCGATGAAGAAGTAGAGGTGCCTTGTTGATCATGGAGAGACAGCAGTCTCTCTGTTCGATCCAAGGAAAGCCCTCTAAACTGGTAGGGGAAAGACTGGCCACACCTCTGTAGACAGCTGCTGAGAACCGAAGAACAAAAGCTTAATTAGCACACCGTAAACAGCATGTTTGGACTGGGTGAGAATATTGATCCTTTCTTTACTATTTTACAACACAATTTCCTGGGAAAGGCTCCCAAGAAGCTTAAAACCTCTGGATGTGAACAGAAGCGGCGTTTTAAATTTTTTATGGAGGACAGAAATACACAATACTGAAGTGAAAGTAATACAAAGCTACAGTTTTGATAAATCTGAGAACTGAGATAAACTGTTAAGATTTTCTTGGGAAAAAAAGTATTGAGGTGAAATATAAGAAATATAAAAAAATCATCCCTTTGTTTTAAGTGTGGAAAAAGGATTTTGAATGGCATCTAGTGGTGGATTTGAGTATAGCACTATAACTAGCTCCTTCGCTACTTGGTGAATTTCAGTTAAGGGAGAACAGCTGGAAATAAAGGAAAATATTTTGGTACTTTTATCATCCTGACCTTCTTGGACTATAAATACCTACTAACTTGGACTTTTAATTTCAAGAGCTAGTGGGAAAGAAAGGAAAATTTCACTTTTGAATACGTCTGGCTGTAAGGAGGTTGAACATTTTGAACACTTGGAACTTTGGGGATTACAACCTTGCCTGACTGATAATTTTCAGGATACTTGAGACAAAGGATTACTATAAAATATTGCTATTAGGACGGGATTATAAAGGCTATATAAAAAGACCTGAAAACTAGAGGAAATTCTGTTCCACTCTTACCGAGACTGGTGATACTAGAGGATTTTTAGGAATGATGCCTCAAGAAAAAACAAGTACCTTTCAAAAGTAAATTCTCTCTATGCTACAGCAAATTCATCAAACAATTCTTGCACACAAAGAGGATATAAAAAGAAACCATAATGAGACTAAAAATAACCTAGATGACATAAGGACCAAATCTCCAAATTGAAGCTACAACTGGAAAGCTCCCAAACAACAACTACAGAGTATGAACAAATAAACCAGAAATCAGAGGGTGAAGCAAACGAAATAGACCTAGAGATGGAGGAGATAGGAGAAGGGAAATATGGACTACCATACACAAATAAAATACTCCAAGACTGTATAACAATGAAAATACAAAAGACCCTTTACTCCTTTCTCCAAAATACACCTGATGACAAGGAAAAGAATCTAGAAAATGGAACATAGAGCGAACAAGTCTAGGGAATGTGGATGGGCGAAGTTCCCCCCCGAAAAATACTAAACTGTCCTTCTCATGCCAAGCAGCTTGCACAAAAATAGAAAGAAAATTCTTGGGTGATTTAATTGCCCTGTCCTGGAACGCTGCTTGGCAAAGAAAGAAAGTGAGTTAGTCTTAAAAAACAGAGGATTTGATCTATCAGGGAGGGCACTATCTTTTTAATATACTTGTTTGAATATGATTAAAAGACCGGATGATCCTTAGATATAACTAGATTTCTGTAATGGAAGAATTTAGAATTAACATAGCATTTTTTTCTTTCTTTTGATATGGGAAATTTGAAAATAAAGAGGATTGGTATGAATAAAATTTATTAATTAATAAATGTAATTAATATTGAGAAAATCATAACTGACAAAGATACTTTAAATACTGATGGGAAATTAAACTTTAATAACAGCATGAAAAAAGGATATTGACTTATGAATTGATATTATTGTTACTTCTATAATATTAGTAAAATATGATGAAGCTGTCTATATCTAATTTTGTATACATTAATAGTATTAAGAATTGTAATTGTTTGATGAGGGGAAAAAGAAAAAAATATGGGGAAGAAAGGAAGATCAAGAAAAAAATACTGGATCGTGCAGTACTGAATAGATTTATATTGAAGAATTTAATGTTAAATATGTGAACTCAGACAACATGTTGTTTACTAAGCTTTAAAGATTGTAACTTAAAAATTAATAAAATCTGAAAAGAGAAAAAAGATACCAGCTACTAAAAATATGATAGGTAGTGCTATAGGAATTTAAATGCAACATAAAATATAAATTAAGAGTGTGTACATGTATTGATCTTAAATATTTTACATATGTGGATGGGGTTCTTTTGGAATTTTGAGAACAAGCTGTGCATTCATAATGAGGAATTGTGAATCTTGCCTACTAACTTTATGGGTACGATAGTGAAAATTTCCTATGATGAGGTTGCTCCCCACTGTATCCTATCTACCAGTCTAAAGATAATCATTATCATTTCAGTTCACTTATGTTTTGTTCACAGATCTGGCTAGGTGGGCATACTTCTGAACAAAACAAAGAGTGATTCACCCAATAAGCCTGCTGGGCTCAGAAGCATTTTAATAAACAAATATGATACTAAAGCCGGATGATCTGCCAACTTCTCATTTAATTTTATTTCAAAAAATGTTCTTTCAAAAAATGTCAAGAGAAGTGTGTGTGGGGAGGGGGGGAATGCATACAGGTATTATGTGCTTATGATACTCCTAAATGATGGAGTACCTAATAAAATTGTGAGGGCAGAATAAGATTTCAAAAAAGAATCAGGAATGGAGAAATACTGTTTTAGATATCAAAGGTTATGTTTCATTTGTGTAATCAGTTAACAGCCAGCATTGTGGGTAAAGTTAAGGAGCTAAAATTCACTGTAACTGGATCCAGAAGTGGCAACACCCTTTTTGTTTGTTTTAGCTCTTATATTTAGTTTGCAAAACATTTATACTTGGAAAAGATTAAATATTAGAAAGGAGAAGGGAAAGGAAAAACAATATGAGATAAACAGAAAAGGAGAAATGAGAGCCCTGTGGGATATGTGTTTGAATGGCAGAAAGAAGTGAGGAGGGAATCTTATATAGGATGATAGATTTTTGGTAAGGAACATTAAGTTATTTGGGAATATGTAAGGCTTTTTTAAAGAAAACTTTGGATTTTATTTATTGTAAAAAATAACCATTTTACTTTTATGTTTTAAAATACAGCACTGGTACTGTCAATTACATAAGAACAAGCAACCATATCAAGGGGAAAAGATATTAGGATATTCTTCAGTTCTGTTCATCTTTTGAAAGATGTTAACTGGTGTTATGTTTTGGAGCAAAAACAGGCAAAGAAAGAAGGTGTTTGTAATGCAAAGGATTTTAAATGTGTACAGAGAAGAACCTAACCTAGTTTATCCTCCTGTTTGCCCAAAATTAAATTGATGTTTAATTCAGAGATCCTACTGTGTATTATAGAGAAACATTTTTATTAAGTGGTCATACTATATGCATATTTGAAATGCAAAAGACTTTTGACAGAAAGTTTGGCATATTTTCTGTGACATTCCACAGCTTGTAATAAAAACTGGACAATGAGTGTAACTGGATTTATTTCACTATGGGTACTGGCCTTACTGCTTGGCTGCCAATTAATAACCCATGCAGAACATGAGGACATAGTGAAACATGCAATAAAGCTGCATCGTGGAAGAGGAGTTGCTATTACTCAAAAGAAACAGTGGCTTATAGAAAACTGCAGAAAATTATCTGGACTTCTACATCAGAAGACTGTGGTTCTCAACAAACTGAAAAGTGCAATGAGAGCAGTGGAAAAGGATTCAGGATTGTCATTTGAAGAGAGGACTTTTCAGGTTCACACATTCGAAATTTTTCAAAAAGAATTAAATGAAAGCGAAAATTCAGTCTTTCAAGCAATCTATGGGCTCCAAAGAGCTCTACAAGGCGATTACAAAGATGTTGTAAACATGAAGGAAAGTAGTCATCAGCGGCTGGAAGCTTTGAGAGAGGCTGCAATAAAGGTAAGCTCTTCAAACTGTAATGTTTTACAAAGATGAAGCATGAATAAAATAGCTAAAACCAAAGCTGAAGATACTACTCTTTTGCATACATTCAACATTGCTTTCCTTTTAGAAAGGATTTATAGGTCCAAACGATTATAAAAGCCTTTTAGTTCTGCTATCTGAAAGAACTCTGTTCAACTTCAGCTAGAATAACCCAACACGTCCTTCATTTTGTCTTTTCTGGCTTGGCAGAGGAAGGAAGCATCTTCCTCTCATATTCATGTGCATGGTTTTCTCACATTAGACTACAGCATAATATAATGGTTTGCTAGGCTACTTGTCTTATCTCCCAAAACTACCACACAATAATAGTATGCAATCCAAGCTGAGCTGCTTTGGGAGGAAAACAGTAGAGTACAAATATAATATATATTGTTGTGACAGAAGAAAGAACATATCTTTTTGTGTGCTTTTTCTTTTTTAAATTAGCTCTTTCTCATCTTTAAAATTATATTTCAGAAATCTAAAATATCACCCAGTTTTATTGAGTAGTTTGATGTTACTATAATAGCTGAAGGTACAGAAAAGCTTTCCTCAGATTTTTCAAAAGTCAAAATTTGACAAAGTATTTTGAGTTTTGAGTAACCATTCACCTTTTAATGTATTTTGACAGGAGGAAACAGAATATGTTGAACTTTTAGCAGCAGAGAAGCATCAAGCTGAAGCCCTGAAAAACATGCAGCATCAAAATAAAAGTCTGTCTATTCTTGATGAGATTCTTGAAGATGTAAGAAAAGCAGCTGATAGGCTAGAAGAAGAAATAGGAGAACATGCCTTTGATGACAACAAGTCAGTAAGTTTATTTAAAAACTGGTTTTCTAGCTGTAAATGAGATAATTTATCTACATATTATTTTCTCATTTTTTCCCCCAAAAACAAGTTTCTGAAAGGAAAAATCAATTGTTGAAATATAATTTTTAAAGACTATGAAGTGTGGAGGAATACAAAACAAATCAAAATATATTTCAGCACTATGAGGAGTAGCATAGCTGCACTATTCTGTGTAACTATAATAAATAGCATAGTTACATATCCTGAGGTTGAGAATATGAACAGCAAAATAATAGATATTCAAGGGTAATGTTACAGACTAGAATATATGATAAAGCATATAAACTGAAAATATAAATTCTGCAGTGACTGTGCTTATATATATTTGAAAATTGTTGCAATAGTCTGCATACTTTAATAGTTTTCATTGTTTTTCCTTTTTAAAAAAATTCTCAGAAGACAATATGGTAAAAGGGATTTTTTTTTAAAAAAAATTAATTTATCGTCCATATTCAGCAAAAGGCTTCTGGTGTATTTTTCTTTCTCAGCAGGCTCTCTGAATCCTCAAAATTCAGCTTAGTCAGTTCTTTGTGGGAGGATTGACAGGAGAAGAAAATAAAGCAATATTTGTAAAAAGGAGTCTCAGTCTTATGCCACTGAGTTTTGCCTTAAATAAATGAAACATTAGAATTTTATTTCATTGGCAGGTGAGAGGAGTTAATTTTGAAGCCGTTTTAAGAGTAGAAGAGGATGAAGCGGATACCAAAAGAAATATTTCAAAAAGGAAAGTGGAAGATGATTTGGGTTTAAGTATGCTTATTGATTCACAAAACAATCAGTACATTCTTACAAAGCCCAGAGACTCAACCATTCCACGTGCTGACCATCATTTTATAAAGGTAAGCTGCTATAAAGAGATGAAGAAAATAATATTAAAAAATCTATCATTGTCTATACCTTTCTTTTTCAACGACACAATACTAGAAGTTTCAACAGAAGAAAACTGATTCAACCATGGCAAAATGTTGTGGTGCATCAAGAATTCTTGATTACTGAATTCATCTCATTGCTATCTCTATTGATATGCCTTGTTATTTTAAGAGAAACATATGGGAAATAAGCAATAAAATATTGTCTGTTCATAAACTGCTTTTGGCTGGATACGATTGAAGACAAGTATTCTGAACTTTGTTTCTTTGACAGTCCAGGAATATTATTTATGTAAGTTGCTATTACATAACTGCATATAATCATAATTCTCCTGGACTCAGCTTGATCATTCACTGGAGGGGCATCATTTAATAAGAAATCTGGATTTAGCTATCAAAATATATTTGCAATAAGCTATGGATGCGATAAGCCGGTACGCTTGATGCATTTAAATATATATTTGAATAATTTGGATTATATATAATGAAAAGAAACATAACTTTACTGTTAAATGTATTATTGATGCCACTGGATAAGCAATTTTACATGTAGTACTAAAGTACAAAAATTCAAAATCTTATATTTATTTTAATAAAGGCAGCACTTTGATTTTTAGTCTGTAGCCTCAAAAATGTTTACTTTTAAGGCAGGAAAATACACTCTAAGTTGCCTTGGTACAGGTTGGTCAACAGGTCCTAGTTTTCATAGAAATTTCTGTAGATAATCCTCATCTCTATCTAAGAAAATGACATGTGACATTCTTTGTTGATGATCTTGTCGACGCACAAGATGAGATCCACTTTGTTCAGCATTCATAGAAGAGGCCTAGGAAGAACAGAAGCTACCAAGCATTTCTTCAAAGGTCATGTCAGTCAGTCCTTGGCTGAACTCTTTCCTAGGTGCACTTCTTTCTCATTTTGGGAAAGCCAACTCCAAATGAAGCAGATGTTTTTATGCAAAAATAGAAGGAGAATTTATTTTCCATGTTGTTCTGTATGATGAATCCAGTGGCATCGTGATAGTGCTTAAATTATTACATAATTCCTTCAGTTAAATCTTGTCCCCTAGTATCATCTGACCTCCTGGGTGAAGTAGAGAGCTAAATTTATATTGTAATAAATCACCAAAGTATGACCCAAATCACTTCATTTCAAAATCTTTCAGCTAGTTTTACAAATAGCAAGAAATGATATCCTGGGGTTGCTAGATACTTACTTTAGAACCATGTTCTCCAATTTTCATGTCTTCCAGACATAGAGATTTCAATTCCCCAAATTCTCTTTAATTATCATTGCTGGCTGAAGAGGTCTATGAATTGAAATCCAGCTATCTAGAAAATGTCAAGTTTGGGAAAGATTGAATTTAAGATAAATTCCATTGTTTCCTGCAGGAAAACACATCCAAAATTTACTCTTTCTCCCATATCTATTAAAACTATCCAGTCAGTTTAATTGTTTGTAACCTTCAGTTGGGTGAAATGGTACATCATAGGCCAATTTTTTTTTTAATCTACAACAAATGAGCTAATTTATAGAATGAGTCCAAAGTCAGGACACATGATTTGCATGGATTGAAAGTTGGCAAAGTTGTGGCCATTTTACTGCTGCTACACTGCTGTGTTACTGCAGTCAGCTGCAAGCACATGATTATCATTTGCAACACTCCCTGTCAGCTTCTTGCAAAGAAAGTCAATAGGGAAGGTGGCAGGAAATTGGAAGTCCCATTGTTTTTTTAACCCACCCATGATCATTCGTTAGGTAAGGATATATCTCTGAAATAATGATCCAACAGGTCACAGGTTAAAGTCTCAATTAAAGTCTCAGGAACAACATAACCCTAGAATGTGATCAGTAATGGATGGTGAACGATGAATTGTTAATGTATTATTTTGTTCCAGGATGGATTGCATTGATTGCCTTGGTCTTTTCAGCAGTGGTGTATTTTTATTTTATTCATTAGGATATTGTCACAATAGGAATGCTGTCTTTGCCTTGTGGTTGGCTATGCACAACAATAGGATTGCCAACAATGTTTGGCTATATTATTTGTGGAGTACTTTTGGGGCCATCAGGTTTAAACAATATAAAGGTAAGAGTATATTTGGGGGTGGTACTTGTTTTTAAGTTAAGTATCAGAATGCATTTTAAAAATATATTTGTAAGAAATAAGCTACTCTGGAATTTAAATGGACTATTCCAGTGATGGTGAACCTGTTAGAGACTGAGTACCCAAAAACCGCCCAGCCCACCCGCCCGCTCCGCTGCCTGCCCCACTCTGCCCCCGCCCGCTCATAGGGCCCCCCACCTCCATGGCCTGCTGCAGATTGCCCACGCAGCCCTGCAGCGCCACAGCGGCCACGCCCTCCACCCATGCCCAGCATCATCATCTGCACACATCGGGGCACAAAGGCAGAGTCTTGTCCTTGCTGCCTGGTTGTCATGTCCTTGGCTGCGCTGTTCTGCCCGGGCCACACCTGGGGGCGACTCTCCATGGGGGCTCCTGATGAGGGGGCCGTGGGGGGAGGCGGAGCTGGGGCAACGGCACGTGTGCCCACAGAGAGAGCTCTGAGTGCCGCCTCTGGCACGCGTGCCATAGGTTTGCCACCACTGGACTATTCTGTGTGACAATATTAGAAAATAAACTTTTTCTGTGTTTCAAGGAATAAGAGTTGAATGAGATGAAACAGAATATTTGATTATAGATAGTCCTCGACTTAAACCATTTTTTAGTGATCATTCAAAGTTACCACGGCACTGAAAAGTAACCTATGAGTATTTTTTTCAAACTTATAACCATTGCAGCATCCCATGGTCATATGATCAAAATTTGGAAGCTTGGCAATTAGCTTATGATGGTTGCAGTATCCCAGGGTCATGTGATCATTTTTTGCGACCTTCTGACAAGCCAAATCAGTGGGGAAGCCAGATTCACTTAACAACAATGCTACTAACTTAACAAGTGCAATGATTCATTTAACAATTGTGGCAAGAAAGACTGTAAAATGGGGCAGAATTCACTTAAAAACTATCTTGTTTAGCAACAGAAATTTTGGGCTCAATTGTGATCATAAATCGAGGATTACCTGCAATAAGTATTTATTATTTGAATATTAGGAATTAGGCAATATTCATCCAAAATTGAAAAGGAAACTATCTTAAGCAATGAATATATTTTTATTTTTTGATTTCAAGGAAAGGATTAAATAAAAAAATAATCACTAATTTCAGTAAGCATATAAGGAATCTTAATTAAGAAAATGTTTTATTTAATGTGATTTCCCTATTTAATTCCAAGGTATATTATTCCATTTATATGTCTTGTTAATAATAAGCACTAGCAAATAAGGTAGTATATTTGGCCCTTATATAGGTTTTTAAAAATTTATTATAGAATACATATAGTCCTTGACGTTCAACCATTTGTTTAGTGACCATTTGAATGATAACAGCACTGAAAAAAGTGACTTATGATTAGTTTTCACATTTATGACTATTGCAGCATCCCCAGGCTGACATCAGAATTTGAGCACTTGGTAACTGGCATGTATTTCATTGTCCTGGAGTCATATGATCATCATGTGATCTTCCCCACTAACTTCCAACAAGCAAAGTCAATTTGGGGAAGCCAGATTCGCTTAATGACTGTGTGATTCATATAACAACTGCAGTGATTCGCTTAAAAACTATGACAAAAAAGATCCTAAAATGGGACATAACTCACTAACCTGCCTTGCTTAGCAGTGGAAATGTTGGGCTCAACTGTGGTTGTGAGTTGAGAACTATCTGTATATCAAATGCAAAGAAATATGGCTACTATGATTAGATTTTTTTTGTAGGAATTCAGTCCAATTGAATATTTTAAGCAACTGTTATAATAAGATTGTAGCATACTGAATAGAATATTTTTCAGTCAATTGTGCAGGTAGAGACATTAGGAGAATTTGGAGTATTCTTCACACTGTTCCTGGTTGGTCTGGAATTTTCTCCTGAAAGACTAAGAAAGGTATTGTACATTAGTACTATAAATTGATACTAAATATGAAACCTAGCATATCTGGAACAGCATTAGACTCATTTTCATTGATACCTGGTTTTCAAAATGGAATTGTTTTGCATTGTCTTATGAGAATCTATTTGGTGTAGTGGTTAAGGCCATCAAGCTAGAAACTGGGAGGCTATGAATTGTAGTCCCACATTAGGCATAAAGCCAGCTGGATGACCTTGGACCAGTCACTTTCTTTTGGTCTTGCCAAGAAAACTGCAGGGTCTTGTCCAGGCAGTTTCTTCCATTCTTCTGAATGGAAAAAAAAAAGTGTCATATAAGAATGTATATAAGTCAAAATTTGTCCTTGTCAAATTAGTAGGATCTTAGCAAAAGAGAAAGTTTAAGAAAATTAAAATTGACAGTAAAAAGTAGGTTGGGTCTAATTAAAAGAATCTGCAAACAGAAGGATGTTTTCTATATACTGCAAGGATATGATTTAAGTGGAACTCCCTTTGGGCTGAGATGAGAACAGATTTTTGAAGCACAAGGAGAAATGATGTTGGGAGGGGTTTTTTTATGGGAAAAAGGGCAGAAGTTCTTTTCATGTATCACTAAACTCAGCTTCCTCAACTGTAAACGGCTGAGATTTTTTAATGGAAATTTGGCGATGTATGAATGTATGTATGAATGAATGAATGTTGTGCCCTGTGGACATATAGATTTTAGTTCCCAGACTTTCTCAGGTAGTTGTCAAGAATTCTGGCAATTATAGTATGTCCACAAATTTAGAAGACATCAAGGTTGCTCATGAGGCTACTCACAAGTTTTGATTATAGGTTGGCTATCATTTTTGAAGAAATATTACTAATTAAGAAAATAACATATTTTTGTCATTTGTATTCCGAAATTTCAGGATCCAAATGTTGGATCCGAATATAGTAGTATTTTGGGACAAAGCTATAATGATGATAGTAATAATTAGAAGGTTTGAATACTGATTATTACCAAAATGGGCTGCTATGGTTAAGGCTATGACTAGAAAAAAAAACTTTCTTAACATTGTAGCCTTGTTTTCTCTTGGTAATGATAGATTTCTTTGAACCTTTATAATAGCTTAAACATCTTTGAGTTTTTACTGATATACAGATATCCAAACTTTGTATCATTGAAGAAAAAAAGGTGTTGGACTTTATGCTGTTTGGTATTTTTAATATCTACAAACATTGGCAACAAAAATAATTTTGAAACTCAAAAGAACTTTTGGTATCTTAAATAGTTGCACATTTTTTCTTACCAAGTTTTAGTATTCAGTTGAAAATAATATCGGAAAATGCTAAAATTCAATTCTATATTACAATTATTCTTAAAGGTATGGAAAATATCTTTGCAAGGACCTTGCTACATGACACTCCTGATGATTACATTTGGCTTAATCTGGGGGCATTTGCTACAAATCAGAGCAACTCAGAGTGTTTTCATTGCTACTTGTTTATCATTATCAAGCACACCGTTGGTATCTAGATTCCTTGCAGGGAGTGCTCGCGGAGATAAAGAAGGTAAGTCCAGTGCAACTTCTTTATTAGAATGCAAACATAGGGCCATATATGAATTTTAAAAAATGATGTAAATAGTATTTTTGAATTTTTTTGCTGTAGAAAAGTACTTTTAATTGACAGTTAACTTTCAAATGTTATAATTACAGTTTTGAACATGAACGCTCCTAGTTATTTCAGTCACATATATTTCTTTTAGCCAATCTATCAGTTGATCATACTTTATGTGAAGAATACTTTGGGTTAATGTTTGGTGACACCAAACCTCTCTATGTTGTTCTGAATTATTGAGATCAGTAACTCACGAGTTAATATATATTCCTTATATATGGAAAACACATTTCTTGTTCCTGTCTTTTGTATTAAATATTGTCAGTATTTGTGTAGTTAAAACATTATGTTTCAAACAGTACCAAGCTTGATAATTTTGCAAATATACGATTTAAATAATCTTCATAAGCTCAAGTTAATATTATAATGCATATAGTTTTATATTTAGTGAATATTTTTCCCTGGCATTGGCAAAAGTTTAAAGTAATACAGTAATAAAACTAAATTGTAGGTCATAGATATGACCAAAAAAAGATTCTTCATTTCTTCTGTAGTACTGAAAGCTGGAGTCAGTCAATTAAGGTGAATAATGAAAAACCCAGTTCAGTCCAGTCCATATACTCACTTTCTTCAAAGACATAAGGTTGTACTTTGTGTATTTTCCATGAGAAACTGGAAACGGTTATATTGAAATGGTTCTACAGTCATCTTCTATGTCTCTCATATTTCTGTCAAGAAGTTGTCTGAGTTTACTTTCTGAAGACTTAAGATTCCTCCTATCCATTGAAATATCTACAGGTGCAGAATGAATTGTAAAATTTGTAAAATTACACATGAAGCTTTTGGCTTGGCATAGAAACCTTATGATGAAAGAGTAGTTAGATAGCAGAGAGGAAGATACCTATTCTTGCTACAGAGGCAGGTGGGCTACTTTCTTGCATGTTCACTTCTGCACTGCTACCATAGATTGTGACATTAAAGTAAGAGATGTTTTTATTCTTCTTCTGGAAAAGGGAAGACAAAACTGTAGTGTTACAAGAATGAATCACTCCTTATTTGTTATGTACGAGGGCAATTCGGAAATAAACCTGTTTGGTTATCAATGACAGACGCAGATACAGAACTTTTATTATACACATTAAAAAACTACAACATTACATTACTTTTTGACATAATTGCCATTCCAATTGAGGCATTTGTCACAACATCTTACAAGGTTTGAAATTCCTTCATAGTATTCGCTCGACGCCAAATCTGCGCTATTCGGGGGGTGATCAAAAACATCCCAACAGAACTGCTTCAGAAGTTCTTGGGTGCATCTAGCAGTGTGCGGACGAGCAGTATCATGAACCAACACCATACCGGAAGTCAGCATACCCCGATGCTTGTTATGGATGGGTTTTCATAACATTTCACAACAGACTTCTGAATTGATGGTTGAACCACGCTCCATAAACTTCACTAGCAGTACTTCTTTGGCATCTTCACATTTGGCGGGTTTTTCTATGGCAGGGTTCATTTTCAATTGATATAGAGGATAACTCAACTGCAACACAACCTTCTCCTTCCACTTCTCACTGTCTACTGAACTACTGCGCATGGCACCATAGGGCAGGCGTCGCTATGTCTGCCTATTTCTTACACATGCTCAAACGGAGGTTTATTTCCAAATTGCCCTTGTATTTTTATCTTTGCTCTCACTTTATCAAATATTTTTGATAAATTGTAGAAAAATATACAGCCTAGGATAGTTTTTGGAAACATTAACAGATTACAGCATATAAAATGGAATAGAAATAGGTCTCAAAATCTGAGGAATGGAAGCAGGCATCTCCTTTTATGGTATTTCTGCATCCTGAAAGGGCACCCACATAAGCATTTTAAATAAATGAAATAAAATAAGGTTTTAAACAGGTACAGAGTATTAAAACTCAGCTTCCTTGAGGGCAAGGGAATAAAAGGTGATTGATTTTGAATTCTGAAAGTCACACATGCTAAGTACTGACATTTATATGATCAGTTAATTCTGAAAGTTACATGATCAGTTAATTTTGAAAGTAGACAATTCTTGTTAATGAAATATTAAGTTTCATATTACAGTGAATGTTTCTTGCCTAACAGGTGAAATTGATTATAGCAGCGTTCTCCTTGCAATGTTGGTGATGCAGGATGTACAGCTTGGCTTATTCATAGCTGTGATGCCAACTTTTATTCAAGCTGGATTTGGCACACATTCCAGGTAATAAAGCTAAGTTGTTACTTTGTTCATTACATTTTTATCTTGATATTTTGCAAAAAAAACCTTGGATAATATATTTGTAGCATTTAATTTGTTACATACATTGCTTCATATTTATGAATCAATTTGTTATCGATCTTCGGATCCCATGAGACAAAGTCTTGGGGAACTTTGATATTGTTATTCTTGCAAAAAAGTAAAAAGGGGAGGCATTAAAGTAAGAATAATCAATACTAAAGTGAAGATGGGGCATTGCAAAAATGAGAGAAACTAATTTACCTAGGAGAAAGAATTCCTGAATCAAATCTAGAAAAAAATCAGTATTGCTAAAAAAAATCAGTTGATATTGTGGAAACATTTATATAAGCTGACATGCCAGACAATGAAAAACCTAAACTGCAAGACACCTCCTGAAGATTTAAGAAAGAGATGAACTTTTACAAGCAGATCTAGATGCACTGATGTGGCCAGATCACAGCTACAATGAAGTCTGGAATGATACAATCTTTGTAAATGTGAGCTGGTTGCCAAGTACTCCAAAAGGTGATCTTGGGGGCACTGTCACAGCTGGAACTTCAAGGGCCAGTTATAAGTATCTCTTATTGTTCACAACTTTGAACAGTCACTGCATATGACAGTGGCAAGAAAGGTTGTAAAATAGGGCAAAAATCACTTAACAGATGTCTCACTTAACAACATAAATTTGGAGCTCAATTGTGGTCATAGGCCGAGGATTATTTGTATTATTATTAAATGTCAAACCCAACTGAGTAACATTTATTCTTTGATAAAAGTACAAAAACAGTTACATCTTAAACTCTCCTCTGAAATCAATGTTTTTCTTTTAGAGTAAAATTATAAAATATGTACATTTGATACATTTGTAATAAATAAATTGAATAATTTAGAACCATGACATTGATACTGGCTTTTTTTCTTTTTCTAGCATCATCAAAGAAATACTAAGAATATTGATGCTGATTGGACAAATCCTATTCTCCCTGGCTGCTGTACTGCTTATATGTCTTATTTTAAAGACTTATCTGATAGGACCCTACTACCGCAAGTTGCATATAGAAAGCAAAGGAAACAAAGAAATTCTAGTTCTAGGGATATCTGCTTTTATGTTTCTTATGTTAATGGTAATTTTTACAAATATTTATATTTTTTGACATGCTCCTTATATAAGAATTTATTATATTTGAAAACTTAAATAACTGTAGATAAAAATATAGCTTTCAGTCATAGACGCTAAATCTATAGAAGGATGAAAACTGTTGATAAACATCTGGCATCTAATAATTCCCAGTGTGATTATATTAATGCATTGTATTACATATTGCATATTTATAAATAAATGTGAATTGGATATGATAATCAGTGGCCCAAGTTGGTAATACCTAGCTGATCTTGAAAAGCTAAGCAGGGTTCAACTTGGTTAGAATTTAGATGGGAAATCACCAAAAAAGAGGCTGCAAGAGTTAACAGGAATTAAACTGGGCTAGGACACCTTAGCTTCAATTATTTATTAATTTGCTGACTATTTTACCACCCATTCTCCCAAAAATGTATGCCCACTCTTTAACGTTTATACAGAATGGTCAAATCTCTAATCATACTGTTGGCATGTCCACTTATATAACTTGATTGGCATTCAGCAAGTTTGACATTTATGTCCTAATGTTTTAAGTTTATATCAAAATAATTCCAGATGACATCTGTACACTTCAGTGAGGAATGACATCTACCAAGTAAAGTTGCAACATTTATTTAGACTAATGAAATTGAAACCCATGTATGTACAAGATGTCCTCCCCCTCCTCACTTCTTTGATTTCACAGTTGGCTATTAAGAGACGGGCTTGCAGAAACAGCAAATTATAGGGGCTAAGAATCAGTGATGATGTAGTGTATGGAAATAAGGCAGTTGTAATCACAATGGCTATATATTTCATTCAGGATCAGAGACAGTAAACATTGAATAGCAGTTGAAGAGGAAAAGTGCCCAGAAAAGGATATTATATCTATATGCTCTTTGCAGTAAATACCTATCTGATTTATCACTTTAAAAATAGATATTACACCCTTTTGATCTTAAAATGGAGGTTAGGTCTCTGAGTCCATAAGATTTTGCATAACATGTTGAAGTGTTGAAGTTTAAGTTCCTACACATTTACAATCATGTAATTGTATGTAGAATGTAGTCATCTATTGGGTTATGTGCAACATTTTTATTGTAATCTTAATTATATAATCTGATATGAAAGTGTACATTAAATGTACATCATCTCTGTGAAGATAAATTAACATTCAATTTAATCTTATGTATTTCCATTTTCCTAACAGCTCACAGAGTTATTGGATGTTTCAATGGAATTGGGATGTTTCCTGGCAGGAGCACTTATTTCTTCTCAGGGTCACATGGTTACTGAGGAGGTTATATCCTGTATTGAACCAATACGTGACTTTCTTGCTATCATATTCTTTGCATCTATAGGTAATTTATTACAGAATCATATATAAATGACATTTAATTTTAACAAATTTGATTATTTATAAGCATGAGGAACATAATACAAGGTTTATAATCTAGGCAAATTTCTGATGCTCTTCTAGAATTAGAAATGGCTCATGTGAAAAAGATAGAGTGAGAGAAACTGGTAAATAAAAGTATATGGATTACTTATTGCAATATTCAGTTTCCAACTTTTTTGGAAACAAGATTTTTTAATGTAAACTTAGAGGATAAATGGTACCAGCCACCACTACATCTGTGCTCTTTCCTGCATTTTAGCCATTTATTGGAACCATGTTCACATCTTACTGATATTTTCTAAATTATATTTTAAGCACTTATTAAACAGTATTAAAACCTTAGAAAATTACTTAAAACCATGCATTTAGAAATGCAATTATATTAGTTAGGATAATTTTGTCAAAAAAAGCTGAAGCAAAAAATAATAATAAAATAGAGAAACAATAACATACTCCCCAAGGATTACAGATAAGGACATTTTCAGAAAATATTTCTTCCACATCATACTATATTTCAGACCTCTATACAAATATTGATGACCGCTTTGATTTGATATACTGTCTTTCAAAATTTTGGAAATGAAGATATTTTTCCATTTCATACATGAAAAAAAAAAGCCTGATAAAACTTTCAGGAAAAGTAATGAGAAGTATTCCTTTTATTTTTTCTTTTGCAGGTCTTCATGTATTTCCCACATTTGTAATATATGAACTCACAGTCCTGCTGTTTCTTACACTTTCAGTGGTGATAATGAAGGTATTAATATTTTCTAATAGGATTAGATGTTAATGGAGATTTATAATGTGTATGATTACCCCTCTCCCCATGTGCCAAAGCTGTTATGTAGACAGCTGGCAAGAATAGCCAAACTTACTAGTATATACACTTCTCTTGTGGGTGTCTTTTCAGAAGTAGAGGACTGGAGTGTCACATATAATTTAATATATACTGTTTTTCACTAATGCCATTTTAATAATTTGATGTTATTAAAATATCAGTTGTGGGCACTATTAATGTTTTTTACACATACACCAAAGTCCAGGATTGTGTTTTACCTCAGTTGATAGGTGATGAATGTCTGTGTCAGCTAAATGTTAGATACAGATATTTATAGATGTATATATTATATAATTATAATATCCCATGTCCCTTGAAGTTGGTAATGACTGCTTCCATACATTTTTGCAGATAGCATTTAAAACAAAATATCCCATCAGACTGAGATGTAAATAGGAAAACTTGATTTGTGGAAGCTAAACTTCAAGAAGCTATGTCTGCCTGATTTTAATTTGTTTTTTACCATCCCAGGCTGTTCTGTCTTTTTTTTTTTTAATGGAAACATCTGAAGATAGGAGACTGCTGTACATACTGACTTTATAAGTGACAATACTAGCCCTTTTAATATGTATCAATATATGAAATGTGTCAAAACATGTAAAAAAGATGTGCAACTTGGATCATGCAGTTATGACTTTTTTTTAACCTTCTCGAGATGGCTCTGGAATTACTTGAATTAAGTTCTATCACTGAACTCTTCATATCAATATAGTTCATTGATGACTTCTTCATTTTGACTTTTTAAAATATTCCATTGAATTCCATTGATTTTTTAAAAAAAAGATAAGCTTGTTTGTTCCACTGTTTTTTTCTAAAAAGAAGTCTTTCTCTAAGTTTTTCCTGGCAGTACTTGTCCTTTCTATGATTCTTCCAAAGAACAGCCAGTATATCAAATGGATTGTATCAGCAGGCTTGGCTCAAGTCAGTGAATTTTCCTTTGTCCTGGGAAGTAGAGCACGCAGAGCTGGAATAATTTCTCGAGAGGTGAGCTATGATTGATAGTTTCTTTTATGTTTTGGAGGATGTAATAAAATGCTAGATCAGATATTACATAGTTTCTTCTGTCACTTTATTTTCAAGGAACAGTAGCAAAGGACAAGGACAATTGATTAATCCTTTTCCTTCAAACTAATTTTCCATCTAAAAAATATCTTCCATAAGATTGGATGCAAAAAAATGGGAAAAATCTATCAAAAATGCTATTTGCGGGAAGGGAAAGTCTTAAATAAACTTACACTCCCCTTGTGGCAGTTTACAACTTCTCAGAGCAGTGAGTGTATATAGTATGTAGTGTTTTGTAGTGTTTGATTTTTCTACAAAAATTTTAAGTTTTTAGACTTTATTTTCTCTAATTGCATATATGAATTCTCAAAACTAGCACACGTCAGCTTCCCAGTTCTGAACACTGAACAACGTATTGAGAAATAGCAAAGTATCAAAAGCAGACTTATATTTCAGTAAATAAAGTTTATAATTTGAGAAAGTGATGTAAAGGATTGCAGTTAGATAGGTACGCAATTAAGTGATTTTTATCTTCCCATCACATTCCTCTGGACCTCTACAGATACTCAACTTATAACTGTTCATTAAACGACTGTTTAAAGTTACAATGGTACTGAAAAAAGTGACTTATGATCGTTTTTCACACTTACGACCGCTGCAGCAGAATTACGTGATAAGAATTCGGATGCTAGACAGCTAGTTCAGATTTATGATGATTGCAGTGTCCTGGGGTCATGTAATCCTCTTTTGTGACAAGCAAAGTCAGTGGGGAAGACAGATCCACTTAACAACTGTGGCAAGAAAGGTTGTAAAATGGGGCAAAACTCACTTAACAAATGTCTCAGCAGCAGAAATTTGGGGCTCAATTGTGGTCATACGTCGAGGACTACCTTACTGACATTGTTCCAGAGGATGCAAGATATTCAGGGAAATTAAGTGAAAGTTGCCCCTGCATTTTCCACTGGCATGAATCAAGAACAAAAATCATGTGTCATTTCCTAATATAGCTTATTTTTCATTGTCTTATTTTTCGCTCTGAATAGTAACATCATCTTTAATATCTTAAGTGGCATAACATAACAGTATTTGGGCATTACTCTGCCTAGAACAGATTAGTAGATTTGTGGGGGCAGGGAGGTTGAATGCTGTTCCTTAGCTGTTCTCATGACAGCATCTGCAGCTTTTTAAACTATCTGATTTTGGAAACTTAAAGCCTTAAAACCATGGTAAGATAGGACTGCTGACATTTTAATAATCTGAAGTCTATGAGGAAACTGGAAAATTAAATGACATGAATACACCACGAAGGCTAATACTGAAGGAGTGGAGACAGATCTGGAGTCTTTGAATAAAAATAGAGAATAGTATTGGGCTAATAGCAGATTAGGATTGTGTTTGTAATCAAGCTTCCCAGAGTCATTTACTGAGATGGGCTGCCATAGAAATTGAATGAATGAATGAAATTATGAGGAAGTTAGGAAAGGAATGGGGCACAGATCAATCCATTCAATGTTTATATAATTTTAATTCAAATTTACAAATACAAAGATTAAAAATACATGCTAACCTTTTTAAAAAGAAAAATTAAATTAAAGTGCGAGAGGGCTAAAGAAAAAAATATATAGAAAAAAGAAATAAAGAAATAGCTTCCCCCTTCATCAAGTACAATTTTAATAACTTATCACCTTCTCTGATACTATAACAAAGGATGTCTTCTTCCTATCTCAGCTTTTGTCAATAAACAAATTCTTAAAGCCCCCTTATTCAACCCTAACTAACAAAAGTCCATTAAGCATTTTGTTCCAATGTATATCAATGGCTCTCTTCTTTAATTATAATTGTTAGTGTCCATTTAAAGAATTTGAACTATGGGTTGGGCATGACGTCTCTAAACCCTCCACTGTTTTACAATCTTGTGGGGAGCATGTGTGGGTAATCCTAAATTCTCTTCCTTGTCCATTTGCTGGCTTTTCATTCTGCTCCAGTTGTTTTCTATTGCTTCCCCAGAAGACCATTCAAATAAAGAAATATAACATAGAAACTTGCATGCTGACTTCTTCTATCTTGGGGTGATTAAGTCATTGCCAAGTCATCCCAGAATAAGAAATCTAAGTATTCAAGCTGAACCTGTTGTCCAGGTATAGCACAATTATGTTATTTTTAACAATGTCAGTTAAGTTTAAGCACTTACAATATGCTCCTGACTTAAAATTTAAGTAAAAAAATAGATAACATTTTATTTTCCAATTTCTAGGTCTACCTCCTTATACTGAGTGTGACTACTCTAAGTTTATTGCTTGCACCAGCATTGTGGAGAGCTGCAATTATGAAATGTGTACCAAGATCTGAAAGACGATTGTATTCCTGAAAACCTTTAGTTCATGTGCTTCAGAGAAGGAAGCCTTTTTAGATAATACATTTCATATGTTATTTAGCTTACTACAAGCCTTATACTGGTTTCAGTTCATGAAACAGAAATGTAACATTTTTCATAATACACTTTGATTTTTAGAATACTGAATGTATGTTAAATAGATTTTTCCAAAATTTGATTTATTTTTTTAAAAATCTATGAATCCAATAATTAATGTGCCTTTTACAGGATTATTTTCCAGTCCATGCAGCAAATGTACATTTATAGTGCCTGTGGTACTACTATAAGACAACCACCAAATTAGTATCTAGTGAAACATTGGTCACAATTTTTTTTTTCAAAGCAATATAAGTTTTTCATTCAAATATAGGATTTAAAACTGCTCTGAGAACTGTAAATTATATTCCTAAGAGTATCTCATTGCATTATTTTTAAAAACAATTACCTATAATGATTTATTATGATTTGTGGTCTGAAACATGGTTAATAGTGATCAGAATAACTTCTAGTATGACTACCGTCTTTTTATACTGATAACTATTAATTAAAAGTATTCTTGGGGGATATTTAATTTTGTAGTTCTATTCATTGGATATATAGCAGAATTAGAATTTGTTGTCATGTTCAACTGGCCTTTGATTATAAATAAATGATTCATTACTACGCATTTCCTTAAAATGAAAAAAAAAATCCTTAAATTATATTGCTCCATATTATATGCGGTGCTACTTATTAGAAATAAATGCACTAGTTATTCGCTAAACTCAGCTAAATTTTTAAAAACTGGCATCCTAAGTAAGAATTGATAATTCTACACATTCTTCACTGTAAGAGTTTGTTATTAAAACTGTTTTCAAAATATAGATTAAATATTACTTTCTAAAGTTACAGAAGGTATCTGGAAAAGTTGCAAACTGAAATATTATTTCTGGACATACAATTGGAAGTGAAAAACCTAAAGAATACAGGTAGTTCTTGTTTAGCAAACGCAATCCGGTCTGGCAACTCAGTCATTAAGCAAAGTGGTTGCTAAATGAAACTGCAACTGCATTTATGATTTTATTGAACTTTCCAGGCGGAAAAGCTTGTAAATGCAAGAGTTGGTTGTAGTTATTTTTTCATCACCATCATAACGGTGAACAGCCATTAAACTACCTGTGTTACCTTTTCTCCAACTTAAAAGTGGACAGAACATTTGTGTTGTAGTATTTATATTCAAGAAATCAGTGGCTGATATGCATACAGGTACATACTGAGTCAAATAGTCTCTTCTATTTTAAATATTAATATTTCTGTATGCTTTTCTGATTTTGGGCAAAGAAAGGTTCATTGTTTTAAAAGTATGTAACATTCTCAATATCCTCAGAGTCAAATAGTGCAAGAAAACTGCTTTTACAAAAATATGGGTTGATAGGGCAGAAACGAATTAAGCTGTGGCACCAACCTTCCTTTGGTTGAACTACCTTTTACTAAATCCTGTTCCTTAAAGAAATGTGCTCAAGCTGATTGTGCAAATAGATAAGGACATTTTAAGAGGCAGTATGTTAATTCAAAAGCCCATTCCTCTAATCCCCATTTAAAGATAAGCGACTATACATATCGAATGTACAAATAAATAAATGTAATATATAAGCAGGGAATATTTTAAATGTGCAGGGAAAGCCCTAAAAATAGGAAAGTTGAATCCGATATCCATACGGTCTCCCTCCCGAATTAATATATTTCTCCTCCCTAAATGGCTTTGTGCGGCTTCCTACTTTGGAATCAGCTCATCCACAAAGATTATTAATGATTGCTTCTGGAAGATGACCGATAATGCAACCATTTAATACAATAAGCATACTCGAATGGACTTCGACAGATCCTTCTTGGCCCTTGAACATATGCGAATTTCAAGACGCCAACAACCTACTTTTGCAATGGGTTAAAGCTGCTCCGCTCCCGTCTATGGAGGGAAAGAGGGCAGGCGAGGGAAACGTCACTGCCGCGGCCCTGATTATTCATGCCCCCTCCAGTGGGCGGGGCAGCCCTTCTCCCGACTGAGCCTTCCATTTCGCGAGGGCGGGGCTCTCAACGGGGTGGGGGCCAGCTGGCGGATTCCGAAGCCGACAGCAACCGCTAGCGCATTTGGTCTCCGGGAGCAAAAAAAAAAAAGGCGTGTTGGAATCCCGAAGGCGCGAAAACCTGACGCATGCGCGCGGTTTTCTTTGCACCGCCCGGTAGGCTTGGCTAAACAAACGTCTGGCGTGAGGAGACGAGAGAGGGCGTAACGAGCTCCTCGCGTTTGTCTATGTGGGGCACGTTTCCCTCCGTGACGTCAGCTCCAGCGCGTAGCGTCACGCAGGAGGGACGCACGAAAGTGTAAGTTTCAATTTTTTCCTCCCTTCCTGCCAACCGCCAAGAAACTCATCCTTGTGGGATCGCGGCCGGAGAGTAAGCGGGGCCGCCTTCTGTGCAGGAAGAGTGAACAGGTGCGAGGGGCAGCTACGGGGCGTCAAGGACGACAGCCCGCCGGAGCCTCGGGGGCAGGAAGGAGAGCGCGACTTGGCAGGGCAGGGGGTGATAGAGCTTCATGCTTTCCGGAAAGCAGCTCCCCGCCGCCTAACAAGGCGCACTTCCTTGGAAGTCCGCATCGAATGGGAACTCTGGGTTCTGATTGGAGCCGAGCGGGATGGAAATAAGATCGACTCGTTGTAAGGGGCATTTACTGCCCCTTAAACCTGAGGCAACAGCCGATCTTTCAATCCTTGCACGCGGATTTGGCGTGCAACAGTCACCGAGGATCCTTGCTCCCAGCCAACGTGCAGAGACTGCACCCTCAAGGGCTGCAGACAGTTTAGAGAGACTTGCGACTGCGTGTTAAAGCGGGTCGGCCGTCCACCCTTCACCCCCACCCGGGCCCTTGCGAGGAACATCTCCCGCTCCCGCGCCCCCGGAGGAACCAGAGCGGGGAGTTGGATGGCAGCTGCGAGAAACGGCGTTTTTTTATTTAAAAAAAAAAAACGCGTTGCCTTCTTCCCGCTTTGTCATTACTGCGGGATAGTTTTCACTTCGCGACTGGTGCAACGGGGGGGGGGTTGTTAAAGCGTCCCTCCCAGCACAGCTCCTACCGGTGAGGGCGCCCGCTTGGTCTCCTCCCCCCCCGGGGGGGTGTTTAGGAGGGACGTGCATTGCACATGTGCAGTTGGCATCTCTGGCTCCTGTGAGAGCGCGGCGGCGGCGCTGTGGGTGCGGGAATCGCTCGGGAGTGCGTGGTGGGGGATGGAGTTGGCTCTCGGCTACTCCTCGCCCGCGCTTCAGGTACCGGGGGGGGGGCGCGAGGACAGGTGGCAGGGAAAGAGGAAGCGGCAGCCGGGTGTCGTCGCCACCGCCGCTGCTTCTGTCGCGGAGCATTCAGGCGGGATGGTTTAACATGAGGAAGAGACCCTCGACCTCTTCAGTCCGCCGACCCTCCCCCTTCCCTCCTCGGGTCGGTGACACGGAACGAGGGGGAGTGGTGCCTGGGTGGCCCGAGTCCCTCTCCGGAGGCAGTTGTGTGGCGGGACTAGACTTCCAGTGCTCTGGCCGGGCTTCTGAGGCCCTGGAGAGGGGCGGGTAGGTGCTGGAGGCGGGGGCTGGCGAGACTTGTTCCCTGAAGCACAGATGCTGCTGCTGCTTGCTTGATTTCCACCGGGGCTGAGGGCCCACTCCCCCTCCTCCTCGTGGAAACATATAAATTGCCTCGGCCTGCTTGGCTATTTACGCAGAGGAAGCGGCGTGCGTTTTGTTTAGGATTGGGAAAGAGTGCATCGAGGGTTGGGTCCCGAGGCCTAGCAATTGTAATGCAGTGAATGGAGCAGGCATTACACGCTTAGGTTGTGCATATCTTTATGAGGCATAATCATTCTCAGTAACTCGGTGCACGGTTGGATAGGACCTTATCTTGCCCATGTTTCTCAGTTTAGATTGTTTTTTAATTTTTTTTCCTAAGAAAGAAACTTAAATTCTTTGAGGACTAAGCTGGCCCCATATATGAGGGGAGAGCGTTTGCAAATCTTATTTTAAATCCAAGCTGGATGACTAACATTATCTGAGCACTATTGATATTCAATATGAAATGTGTGAAGAGTTTACATTTAACTATATTCTTCCCTTTTTCTTTCAGGTGTTTCTAGTCTTCCTGTGGTGATCAGAAGTAAACATTTTGTTTCTGGACTTGGTAACATGGCAAAAGATGTAAGTATAGTAAGTAATATTCTAGAGATTTTTTGCTAGGATGAATGAATAATAGAAATTACTACTGTTGCTAAAATGGCCTCTTGTAGGAGTTGAGCAAAGCAGATATATTTTATTGAATAATAACGATATCAGTGGAACTATTACCATATTCTAAGAATGTATAGTTGTATCCTCCCTCAACATAGCTAAACTCTCTTTAGTATATCACAAACTCCATCATATACAAACAAGACAAGTCATATCATACCATAGCTTATTAGGCAGCTGCTGTGAAAATATGCCATATTTATCAGAATAAAATACCAGTGCAAAGCTATTTATCTTAGTACTATCCATGATAAGTACATTTTTATTATTTTTACTTTAGAAAGAACCATTATCAACACTTGATTGTTCTGAAGCAGTTTTATTTGGATCATCAGTAGTTCTGCCTCTTTTTAGCAAAAGAATCATTAAATTTTGCCTACCTTTGTATTTTTCTAAAAATTGACTCCTTTAGATTGCTGCTTTGCTATCTCTGTGGATCATATAATAGGTTTCATAATGATTTTTTATCTGTTGATAGTTTTTAATATTGTAAGAAGTTTAAATTTGAAAACTTATAGATGGCTCATCTGATGCTGATTTTGTTTCATGCTTATTTGTATCATACATGTAATATTTTGTAATCATTATCTAGTGATCTATAGGTATATTTTTAAATTTCTACTAATTTATTGTACCTGAATGTGTAAATACAGGTTTTAAACAGTATCAGCTTTAATTACATTTTTGATTATTCAAATCATCAGAGAAATTTTGCTTGAAGTTTAAATCACTGTTTCTTAATTATAATTTTCAGAGCTAGAAATGATTAGTTCAATTTAATCCACACATATGTTCCTATATAAGCAGAAATTTAATTGGTTGGGTAACCATTTGATACATTATATTTCTAAATCTTGTGATCCATCAAGCCTCCACCCCCTCCAAAAATCACTGTTTCTGATCTACCAAGGTGTTGATTGGTCAGTTGTTTTTTTGTTTGTTTTAATGATTTACTTATAAAACTCAAGAAGTAGATAAACTATATCATTTTCAGGAGTCGGCAACTTTATATTTAGCTCAAACCATTTAATCATATTAAAATCAAACTATGTTAACCTGGTCATTATTATTTTAAACTGTATTCCTAAACAAACTTTCCTATGTATCAGTTACCATAATAGTTTGACTTGCAATCTGTTGCATATCCTAAATATTAACTGAATTGATAGATATAACACATAGGTATATATATTCCATTAAAATTCAGAACAAGGCAATGTACCATTTTCCTGTTGTTGCCAGATGAACATGTATCTATTAAGTTCATAAATTAAGTCTGACTTATAGAAGACTTTAATTACCTTTAAACAAAGCATGCAACTGTTTGAACATGCTAAGGATTGGATGTAAGCATGCATATTTGGCTGCTACATAAATAAGATGTGTTTCTCTATTGGATGAGAAATAAATGTTCATATCGTTTGCTTGCTAAAATCATAAATAGAATGATGTTGCAGGATTTGAAGTAGGAATATGAACTTTGAATAAGCCTGAGATGATGTGTGTCCTGGGACCCTCAAAACCTTTCTATATATGACCTTGAATATATGACCTAAATCATTCAATATCAAAAATCATATTGCTTTTCTTTCAATTAAATGTGTTTAACCTGTACTGTCCAATGACCTTGTGATTCATTTTCAAGTTCAAAATGTCCAGATCAGTGTTTGAAACAATTCTTCTGGCATTAACAAACATATTCCAGTGCTGTTTCAAACTTGGAACACTTCTGGAATAGTTGGAATATTTCAGTAAACACTTTCAAACTCAAAACATGTTAACTTCATAATATCAGCAATGCTTAGTAGCAGAAAGTAATAACTTTTTCCGGTTATTACTTTATCTGCATTCTTGCAGGATGGGCTTCTTTTGCATATGACAACCTAAAAGCTCAACAATATAACAGTGCTACCTATAATGTATATGTAAAATGCATATTTTGCATTTGTCTGAAAATAAAGCCCAACTGACAACTCGTGAGCTCTAACTTTCCAGTAATAAGCAGTTTTTTAAAACAGGCAGATAACAATATTTTCTTATCCAGACTGTTCTTAATAAACATGTCAATAATAATAATAATAATAATAATAATAATAATAATAATATAATAATAATAATAATAATAATAATAATAATAATAATAATAATAATAATAATAATAATGGAAGGGACCTTGGAGGATATCTAGTCCAACCCCCTGCTCAGGCAGAAAATCCTATACCATTTCAGACAAATGGCTGTCCAGTCTCTTCTTAAAACTTAAGGTTAGTGATTATTAGGACTATTCTCCAAGTCAGCTTGGTTTGGAGAATTTGTTTTTTAAGTCAATACTGTGGGGTCACCTAAAACCACGTGGAATGATCTGCCTCGTTTTGTCTTGAATTTGATACAGAATTTAGGAGCCCTATGTTCTGAGTTGGGAACACTTGAAACTTTTGAATGTTTTACGCATCATAATAAAATACTCTTGCTTATTTTTTTCAATAGTGTTTACCTTATTAAGAACCTTTAGACATTACATACTCTTAAAAAAAACTATTTCTTTTTATTTTACAGACCTGATAATCAGTTTCAAAATACATCACTCTGCTAAACAAAATGCATCCCTCACATAAACTTTGATTTAAAATCGACAGACCTAATTTAATAGCATTAAATGATGATGATGATATATTTTTTCCAGGAAAGAAACCAAAGCTGTTTTTAGAAAGAACTATAAAATTGAAAAGGAATATCTGTTACATATTAAATGATTGATGCTAACATTTCCCTTTGCATTTAAGTGACTGTAGCATATGACCTTGTAAGAAAGGATTCTGTGTCTTCTGGGAAAGCATTGATTTCCATCGCATGTTGTCTGCTTCTTTCATACATCTACATTGTATGTACTGAAAGTAATCTAGGAAGTTTAAACTCTTTAAATCATTTTTGCTTTGTGTATTTTGTAAAGATGAGTTAGTTGGGAGTGCTTTGGAACTTCATTTTGACTTGATTCGCTGAACAAATTTATTTTGAATAAATCAGCAATGGAGATTACATTTGTTACTTTTCAAGTATTCTGAACTATTCATTTTAATAAAATAGCTATGAACCTAAAATCAAATTTAATCCTTATTAATATGTGGGCTATGGACTGCTTGCATAATCTACTCAAAGAAATCATGAAAAGGAAAGATTTCGAGGCTAATAAGAATTAAGAATTAATTTTAATTAATAAGAATTATTTTGTACATAAGTGGTTAACATCAAAGAATTTAAAGATTCCAAATCAAAATCATATCTTCAGGTTTGATGTTCCAGAGTCATGTGAATGACTTGATTAAGCCATCTCTGATAAGTTCTGATATAAGCATAAACTGCAATTTGTTTCTAGTTAAGGTGAAAGATAAGTCTCAGGATTATATTGGGCTTTTGTGTAGTGCTCAGCAATAATTTGTGTTGTATGTTGAAGTGTGATAGCAAATCCAATCCAGTAACTGCAAAAAAGTAGACTTTGTTATCACATGTGCATAATGGAGAATATTTTAGAATTTGTTGGATTATTCAGCAAGTAAAACACACTAGAGAATTCATAAATATGTTATTGTATTAAATTATATTTCACAATCATTTTATACAATTTAAAAAAGTGATACATACTGATGTGAGACAAGTATGTGCATATAAAATACAACAGTAGCTTATCATCATCATCTTAAATGTTTTTTCAACTTCATACTTCAGTCTAAAACTTCCTGATGGATTCCCATCCTAGTATTTAATTTATCTGACCTTGCTTAACTTTTTCTAGAAAGGCAGTGATTGACTGTGGACTAAACTGCTTTTACAAATTCATGTTTATATTTATAAACCTTGAGTTTCTTTGCTTTTAATTCTTATCTTTCTTAAAGAAATACTTTAATGCAATTATTTATATAGTCCCTGTGATTCTATCCTATCTTTATAGTTTTAATTGTGAAATGGCCCAGATGGATAGAGCATATCTCAAATTTCTCAAAAGGTATTACATATTTACTTTCTCCAAGTCAGAATAAAGTTCCTTATTTATTATCTGGTGTACTTTTTTGCAGTGATTACAAAAGTAAAATGTACATGTTTATAATAAAGAATTTCTAATCTTTAGTTTTTTTATTGTAAGTGGGTACTTACAGCGAACTTCATTGTTATGTGAGAAATGTGGAAAAAACACTTTTCTCCTGTTAATGGGAAATTTTACTTGGTCTTAAATAGATTAGTTTTCTTGACTGAGAAAGTTTAAATTGTGCTTTATAATGCAAAATATAGAAAAATGTTGACCTGCTTTCATTGCTACTTTTTGGAGCAGAGTGGAACTTTTGAAGCATTGTAGTTTCAGATTTCAAGATGAGGCAAAAAATTCAGGTCCAGTTTTCTTGAGACTGCTTAGGTTTTAAGTCCTAAAACGTGAAACTTATTTTGTGTACTTGGTTAACAGAATAAAGATCTCAATGAATCCTATTTTAAATGAATGTGTTTTGGTTTACATAAGGTTTAGGAGTGAAACAACTTGATCATTGTTGAAAATTTGTTTAACTAAAACTAGATTTTATTTTGGTTTTGATGGGAACTGCCTAATAACTTTTTCCACCTGCGTTTTAATTATTTTATGGTTTTATTTAGTTCTACATGCTTGTTACCATCATTCTACCTGAAATTGTTTGGATAGGTCATCTAGGGATGTTGTTTACATTGTCACAGATAACATAGCATGTAGTAGTAATAATCTTGGTATCTTTCTGGACTACCTGGTGGGAAATGTATTTGATTTAAACATTCTTTTGTGAGAAGAGAAGCCATGTCTTATGCAACCTCAATGCCACAGCTTTATGTATTCTTGGAAAGTTATTCTAGAGAATCAAAAACTCTGCTACAACAATTCTAAACCTTTGCAATAATACAGTACACCAGACTTTAAATTAGGAATATTGATTTAAACAAATTAGGAAATGAAACATGTTTTATCAAGGCCTATAATTTTTCCTTACCTTTTAATTTTAATATTGGGATATATGAACTGACATATGATGGCATTTCAACAGTATCTGCAGTGAGATTTGTTGGTTGACTTAATAGCAGTTTATTTCAATATTCAATATGGTTTTTTGTAGTGAGTGCTGCATATCTATTTCACATATTTGGAGGAAAAGTAGGTTCTTTAATGCTTTGCTTTTAAAAAGTATTCTCTGAAATTTCATTGCAAATTTTTTTTTATTTGAGGAGAAATGTGCCAACATCTGTTCATTACATGGACACAGCAGTTAGGCTGGTGAATCATAGTTGGAAGGCACTTTAGGGATCATCTGGTCCATCCCTCTGCTTATGGCAGGATCCATTAGGACTCATCCTTTTCCTCTTTGATAGAACAATCTTAGTATTTTAAGACTGTTACTGAATTTAAACATACCCTAGACAGTGATGGCGAACCTTTTAGAGACCGAGTGCCCAAAAACCGCCCCCACCCCTGTCCCCACTCTGTCCTGCCCGCTGGGCCACCCACCACCTCTACGGCCCGCCACAGGTCACCCAGGCAGCCCAGCAGCGCCATGGTGGCCACGCCCTCCACTCACACCCTGCAGCATCATCTGCGTGCAATGGTGAGCAACGGCGGAGTCTTGTCCCTGCTGCCCGGCTACCATGTACTTGGCTGCGCTGCTTCACATGGGCTGTGCCTGTGGGCAGCTCTCCTCTGGGGGGGGCTGCTGGGGAGGAGGGGGCCATGGGAGGAGGCGGGGCTAGGACGATGTTAAGCGTTCCCACAGAGAGGGCTCCGAGTGCCGCCTCTGGCACACATGCCATAGGTTCGCCACCACTGGTTTGCTACCACTTGAATTGGTATTATTTGGATAAAGGCTCCAAATGCACTCAGGCCAAGGCAGAGTGGAGTGTGCAATGATTTTCTTACTAGCAAATGTTGGAAATGTCATGAGATAGGAGGAACTTTTTATCATATGTGGTAGAAGAAAAATACTTAACAAATATTGGAAAGAAATTCATAGAACTATTCAAAGAATTTTAGAAATCAAATTTGAGGAGAAACTTTTACTGGGCATAATTACAAAACATATTAATAAAAAGTATCACAACTTACATATTTATGATGGAAAGGATAGATTTGGGAAAACATTATAAAAGAGATATGTTACCCCAAAAATCAGACTGAAAACTTAAACATAACAAACATGGCAAAATTAACAACGTATATTCAAATTAGAAGTATAAACAAATTTAAGCAAGAATCACATCCTTGCATATTATATACAATGCAGCAAGGGAAATACAATTATTCATAGTATGGTTTTAATGGGAAAAAGAATTGACTAAAATTGAAAGTAAGAGATAAGCACAAAAAATTAAAAATTAAATCTCTGTAAATATTGCACATTAATTGGAGTACAGAGGAAGTTAGAAAACCAATTTTATTTATTGTGTTCTTAATCTTTCCTCACTTTTGTATTCATAAGCAACAAATAATGAAAATTTTAGCGTTTAAACTTTAGATTTAAACTTTCTTAAAACAGTATAATGTATTTAAATGTAATTTGATTTTATTATGATTAATTTCTAATCAAAGATACACTGAGCACTAGTTGCACAATCTTGTTTATTCCTTTGTCCAGTTATAGATATATTTTTCAACCAATTAATTTTTTCTCTTGCTTGTTTGCTTGTTTTTTATGAAAACTTAAATAAATTTCCTATGGCCTACATTCTATGTTCCTGCTAACACATCCCAAAATAGCATTTTAGTCTTTTTAGCAGCTGTGTCATACTGCTGGTTCAAAACCTTTTCCATATACTACTGCCAGGCCAGATCTTCCCCATGCTAAACTTGTGCCTTTTAATTTTCCTTCCCAGGTACAAGAAATATACATTTCTTTCTCTTAACTTCATAATACAAATTTCAGAACATGGCTCAAACCTGTCTAAATATTTTGAATCTTAAATATTAGCTGTCACCTGCCCTACCATTATAACACTTGCAGACTTCAAGCTCAGAACAGGACCTTGATGCACTATAGGGTAGGCAACCTCGGCTCTTTTATGACTCATGGACTTCAACTCCCAGAATTCTCGAGTCAGCATAGCTGACTCGGGAATTCTGGGAGTCGAAGTCCATGAGTCATAAAAGAGCCGAGGTTGCCTACCCCTGCGACTATACAGTCCATCTTTATAAGCTGAAGTGGAGCCATTAACAAATACTCATTAAAGTCAACTGTGAGTTTATCAAAAGAAGTACCAGCTAGTCCAGATTTTTTTAAACTGTTCTGCACAATCCTTGATGGAGTTCAATGAGAGATTAAGCTCTGGCCTCCACCCCAGCCCCAAATGAATTCAAACACAACTATTTTGTATCATCAGAGCTTTGTTCATTGGCGATTGCAGGAATTTTTTTTAATTAGTTCCATAAGAACTACTGATCTGCCCAATATTTTGCATATTTGTAGCAAGCCTAGCCAAGTATTCACAAACATAATGTTAGATGTTTGCCTTGGTACAGATACCAAACTGACCATTTTGCATTTTTCAGAGTCCTTCCTTTTTTTGAATATAGGAATATATAACATTTACTCTCCTCCCATCTTCTGGGAATGCTTACTCGTTTTCCATTTATCAAAGATTATAAGAACAGTTCTGTAATTACCTTTCCTAGTTTCTTCAATAAAGGTTAAGCTAGGATATTGATTCTACAGCTGAAAGATATTTTATTGAACTAATTAACATCATATTTCTTATTCCTTCCAAAATGGTTCAGATAATGTACGTAACACAGTTTTTCATATCTATTTTTATGGCTTGTGTTAAATGGATAATATTTTAAGTTACTGTAGAAGAAATTGTATTGCTTGATATTTCTGTCTTTAAAAAGATGTGTTAAAGCTAAAAGAGTGAAGATTTATTCAAATGTCACAACATAAATGGTTTTTTCTACTATAGATGTTGATAGCAGAATATAATTTGTTTATACATTATTTTTCATGGGTTTTTTTTCTGTCATAGGCTGGTCTCATTGAAGCTAATGGAGAGTTAAAGGTTTTTATAGATCAAAATCTTAGCCCAGGAAAAGGTAACTTTTTTATCATTTGTGTTTAAGAAATGACATTGTATAGGTCTGAGAATTTCTGATAAATTCAAGGGCTACGTTCACTCTCCATTCTTTCTCTACTACTTCCCAATAATCTAATGAATAATTATTTTGAAGTGGTGGAGTTTAGAAGGGGGAAAGAAATGCTTTGAGTTCATCTAGAATTTGAAAGTTAAAAGTGAAGGACAAATCAAAGAAATGTATAAGATTTTAATTTTAATTCAAATAATTTGGTGGGGATTTTCATGAACAAGGGAGGTATGCACTGTTTGAAATAAATAATAATAATTTTGCATTGTTTTCCACTGAAATTCAGCATTTCCATGAAAGGTACCCTGATTCCCTGAACTGAATATGTACATGTCACTTTGCATTGGAGTTGGTATTTGTTAAAATTTATGTTGATGTTGACATGTACTTTTATAACTGAATTTTGAGTAAGTGCTAATAGGAAAAAATATATGTTACAAGAATTTATTTTGCTTAAAGGTATGGATATTAAGTAAAGTTATTTTGTCCCACATGTTTTTAATCACTGTTTACAAATGTTTTATTTAAAATGTTATTAAACAATAGACTCACAAATGTTAAATTAATTAAATGAGAATTACTGCTAATTATGCAAATGTAATATATTAGCATGTCACTTCCTAGTGATTAATAAGTGGTAGATTATATAGAGGATATAATGTTCTCATATTATTTGATGTAGATTGTGATATTCTTTATCTTTGAATGTGACAGATTATAATTCAGGTTAATTTGAGATGCGCACCTTGTGTTAGGCAGTGAACAAATAACACCAGACAAGCAAATTGTGCCTAAAAATTACTCTCTTCTCCTTTCTCTATTCCTCAGTTCTCAAATTGGAACTGTTTTATATGAGTGAATTTTTTTTTTTAGGAATTTAATCGGATACATTATTTTTGACCACAAGGTGGCAGTATTTTGCATATACATTGGACGCTCAAAATTCGGACTTCTGGGTCAAATTGGAAAATACAGTAAAATTGAAACTTTCTTAGTAGGACTGGAAAGTTTTGACACTGAAGTCTTATCAAAACAGAAAATTTGCTAAATTGTAAATATAGAGATTCTCATCCATTCTCATTTAATTTTAATATTAAGTTTGAAACAAAGTTGGATATTTGTGTTGGTCATTTAGAGATTGTTTAAGTGTTAACTTTTCTGATTTCAAAGAGTGAAGTAATAGTTAAATCAGCTTGATCTTAAATTATTGAGATGAACTTTAATTTCATATTTCTTGGGCAGAAGCTTTCAAAATTGGAATAGCGGATCATCCCTTTTCCTAGGTCTTCAGAATCTACTATAAAGAGTTCACCAACTTCCAAAATAATTGAAAAACTTAAAATGGTTGCAGAGACAAGGCAAGAAAGGGAAATCTTGTTAGGCATATAATTATCCATTCATATAACATTGAATTCCATATCTTAGGTTTTTAAACAATAAATAAATCTCTGCAAGGCTCAAAAATATTGAACTACTGAACTTGAAAGTATATATGGAAGTATATATTGGAACAAGATCTGAAACTGGGTCAATATTAGAGACAATTATATCTGTATTGTACATATATTCAGTGTTAAGATAGGAAGTTACATGCATTATCAATTTTTAAATTTTTTGCATGGACATTTAGGTGTTGTTTCATTAGTAGCTGTTCATCCCTCAACACTTGGAAAACAGCTTTTGCCGAAAACGTTTGGACCATCGAATGTCAACATTGCACAACAAGTGGTAAGAGGCCTATCAGAAAAGTCTACTAATCAAATATTAGGATCATTTTTAACACATACACATGAATACATACACACCTGCTTATGGGAAAAGTATTAGGCATGTGGGACGTAAGGATATTTGTTCCAAAGTTATAGAAAAAGCATTTGCGTTATCAAGGCAAAATGAATGCTCTGCCAGTTAGTTCTGGTTTATTTTATTTGTGCCTGAACTTACTGTGGACTAACAAGTTGGTATAATAAAATCCCTTATCCGGTTTATACTAGGATTATAGTAACAATCCTAGTTTTTTCATTGTATGTTATATGACTAATTATTTAAAGTAATATCTGAAATTGTTTTTATTAACCATCAGTGACCAGCAAAGTAGCTATAGTGTTAAAAAGACAGCACATAAAAACAGGCTCAATATAATAAAAGGAATAAAATCACCCTATACATTTGCTAAAACAAAACAGAACAAGATAAGACAAAACAAAAGAGATAAAAGGATAAAAGAACTTCATTCCTTTCAACTTCATTCTAGGAGTCACACATCTTGAGCTTTTTTATAGCAGTAATTGCTAATAAAAACATGGCTACTCTTTTCCTAACAGGGATTGGATCTGAAAGTAGGAAATAAATCACTTCTTTCTCATTGAATTTTTTAAAAAAAATTTAAATGTATTTTTATTGCTTTAAAATAATAACAAAAAGGAACAAAACACAAAATTACACACTGTAAAAATACTTAATGGTTTAACAAAGTAAAAAAATACAACAAAATATAATTGGTTGCTATAGTATACAGTTAGAATTCTATATGTAACTAGTGCAAACATTACGCAAGTATATATTATTTCTAAAACACCTGTAGAAGTAACATGCTTTTTTTGTACAAATGAATCCCATATTTCATTATACTTATCCATACAAGTCTATGGCTATAGGCAATCTCCTCATAGGTAGTAAGTATAATCAGGTCTTCAATCCATTAAGTAAATGGAGGCCTACAGTATACTTATCTTTCCAATGCTGCAATGTCGGACTTTTAGCCTTGATAATATGTTTTAAAGAAACATTGTCCTTATCGCATCTCTAACAAAATGCCGTTTTGACAGTCCTTCCCTATATAAAATATAATGGGCCCCAATACATTTTAAATATTTTGTTGTATGTCATAATTTGAGATCTATTGACATTCTAGGTATGAAAGTTAAGACACTCCCATTGTCTAGGCAATATAGAAATCTCTAATACTTTATTTCATTCAGTTTTCAGCATCTGCATATCAAACTGATTTATTGAAAATAAATACCAAAATTTTAGGTTTTTTAGTGTTAAAGGATTTAACAAGTTGTTCTAGTACAGTGATGGCAAATCTTTTAGAGACCGAGTGCCCAAACTGCAACCCAAAACCCACTTATGCATTGTCGGGTGCCGTGTGGGTGTAGTCCATTGGCTGGGTGTGGCCCATTGGCTGGGCGTGGCTGTGGTGGTAACGGCAGACGGGGTGGGATTAAAAAGTTCAATCAATCCCAACTTTGCAAGATTTTTTTTCCCATGAGAAGTTAAAATTGATTGAGTGAACCCTTTTTTTTTTTTTTTTGCACACAGCGGTGGAGGCCTAAAGTGAAAAGGTTTTATAAAACCCAGCTGAAGGCCAAGGACTGGGGCGATGGTGCGCGTGCCCATAGAGAGGGCTCTGAGTGCCACCTCTGGCACCCATGCCATAGGTTCGCCACCACTGTTGTAGTATCTTAGGTGTCTCAGAATCCCTAATTGAAAACCTGTACTAAGGTAATACAGGTATACTTAAAGTAACATTTTCTATTGCAGAGGAGAGACCCAAGCTTATAAACTTGGGGACAATATCTTTGTGGACATTTTTATTATTATTACTCTTAATCATGTAATAACTAGTTAACAATATTGATAAATATATTGAAAGTGAGGAACAATAAACATATTTTAAGATTGTGTTCCTATAGGTAGACATATTTAATTTGGCCAGTACAAAAAAGTTGCAATTGTTTCTTTTTTAAGGAAGCTAATAACATCACAATAATGAATAATTATATTTTTCTAATGGTCTTCTCTTAATTGTAGGTTATTGGTACACCACAGAGACCATCAGCCCCAAATACTATTTTAGTAGGAAGTCCACATACTCCCAATACACACTTTGTATCACAGAATCAGACTGCAGATTCTTCACCGTGGTCTGCTGGGTAAGTAACGTTCTGTTAAATTAGATTAGAACTAGAATTATTGTTTTGTAGAAATATGAAAATATATGCCTCAAAAATATGCAGTTTAAGTCTGACATCAATTTTTAATCAATCTGGCATTTGCTAGATAATAAGTTCTCAAGCAGCAGTTATTCTTTTCCCTAGTATATTTTGGTACAGGATGTTGATATACCACATACTTCTTTAGTTCAGAATATAGTTTTTTTTTCTATGAAAGTGTATGTTATGTTTTGAGTCATAAAATAAATTCATTTTCTTTTATTGTTTAGATATGTTTGGTCATGGTTGTGTAAATAAACTAGTCAGGTACACTGAAATTAAATGAAGCAAGTAGTTCAGGATATCTGTTTTAAAAGTAAACTATATAAATCTCTTGTGTACATAAATGGATTAGGGAGGTCTGTGTACCTAAAGCTAATTGTATTTTTGTAGGAAACGAAACAAAAAGGGAGAGAAGAATGGCAAGGGTTTACGACACTTCTCTATGAAGGTTTGTGAGAAGGTTCAGAGGAAAGGAACTACCTCATACAATGAGGTAGCAGATGAGTTAGTTGCAGAATTCAGTACTGCAGATGCTCACATCTCACCAAATGAATCGGTAAATATATTTGTATTCTAAATTCATTTTTAATGAATTATATATTCCCATAAAAACTCCCTTTTTACTTAATGATACCCATTTATTTCTCTCTTGGGTATCATCATTTGGACTAACTGATGATAAAAATGTTTATCTAATTTGCTAGTTTATGTTACTAAGTAGTATAACTGCAAGTATTCTGATACTTTTAATTTATCATGTTTACAGCAGGCTTATGATCAGAAAAATATAAGGCGACGAGTCTATGATGCCTTAAATGTTCTTATGGCCATGAACATTATTTCCAAGGAGAAAAAAGAAATCAAATGGATTGGCCTACCTACTAATTCAGCTCAGGAATGCCAGAATTTAGAGGTAAAATTTGTTGAAAATATGCCATTTGTAATATTTTCTTAAGGAATTTTCTCATTCAATATGATTGTATAATAGGTATTTTGCCTGATTCAATTATATATAATGTAATGAGTTTTAAATACTGCTTGGATTTCATTGATAGTAATATAGTGCTATATGTGCAAATGTTTCAGAATTTGGGATACAAGTAATCCTTGCTTAATGATTCGGTGACCATTTAGTGATTCAGTGAACAGTGGCCAAAACTACTGCCATTGCAGCACCTCATAGTAACATGATCAAAATTTGAGTGAGTCACATGATCAAAATTCAGATGACTGCCCACATTTATGATGACAGTATGCACTTCGACCCCCATCACCCATCGGTCTCCCCTGCATCTGCCCTTTTGCCTGCCCTGCACTCTGCTGCCTACCCCCACCTCCACTGGTTGACCTTTTCTGACTTCTCCTTCCCACTGCTGATGAAGCATACCTGGTCCGGGCAGCTTTGCAAGGCCCTTCACAAGGCCGTGCAGACACTTTGCAAAGGGCCAGCAGCTGTCCCAGCCAGTCGTGCCTCATCAGCAATAGGACAAAGAAGATGGTGAAGTCAGTGGGGCATGAACTAGTAGGCCGCAGAGTGCAGAGATGGATGGTTAGGCAGGTGGAGGGAGTTGAAATGGAGATGAGCGCAGCAGGGCAGGAGAACCGCGATGGCATGTTCCTGGCCTAACAGCTAGAACTTCTGTCTCTAAGAAGTGCAATTACGTGATGTTTCATCTAATGATCACATTGCTTAGCAATGGAAATTCTGGTCCCAATTAGAGTCATTAAGTGAAGACTATCTGTCTGTGCTTTATTTTTTGAAATAACTGTTCCATGCCAAGAAAATTGCTGACTCTTAGGTAACGTTAGGTAAAATAGGTAATATTTTACAAAACTGTTTCAGCATAATTAAAATATTGGATTTTTTTTTTTTTTCCCTGCACAGCTAGTTTGAAACTGCTTTTGGGGGAAAAAGAGCTTTTGGAGTTGCTTGGTATTCTGATTCTATTTTTAGAACAATTGTAGCTTTTCTTACATATACAAAACTGTTTTCATGCTGCTTTAGTTGCTCATTGGTGAGTAAAACCTTTAAAATAGCTCCTAGTAAAACCTTTAAAATAGCTCCTAGTATGAGTATACACAAACCGGTCAGTCCTAGAAGAGATCAACCCTGACTGCTCTTTAGAAGGCCAGATCCTGAAGTTGAAACTCAAATACTTTGGCCACCTAATGAGAAGGAAGGAGTCAATGGAAAAGGGCCTAATGCTGGGAAAGATTGAGGGCAATAGAAGAAGGGGAGGACAGAGAATGAGATGGCTGGATGGAGTCACTGAAGCAGTAGGTGTGAACTTAAATGGACTCCAGAAGATGGTAGAGGACAGGAAGACCTGGAGGAATGTTGTCCATGGGGTCGCGATAGGTCGGACACGACTTCGCAATTAATAACAACAACAAATGAGTATACATCTAGGAGTATACTAGGAGTATACATATTTGATTCATTCAACATGTTATTACAGTTTTTTTTCTTTTTGTTAAGGTGGAGAGGCAGAGAAGACTTGAAAGAATAAAGCAAAAACAGTCACAACTACAAGAATTAATTCTTCAGGTATCATCATAGAGCAGTAGCATACATTTTCTTCCTGCTAATCCAATGTTAGAAGCAACCTTGAAAATAGGCATTTGAATTCAGGTTTTTTCTTCTTCTTTAATTCTGTTTTAATTTAATTAATGTCAGTCTATCATTGTTTTAACAGTTCTCAAATTTACATGCTTTAGATTTAAAAAAACAGAATATGATGAATGAGTAGCATACAAGTGACTATAATAAAAATAAAAATGCCCTTGAGTTGAGTTCAGCTCTGGGATAACTTAAATTTGAGCAATTTTCTTGGCATTATTGCAGAAATGGTTCGCCATTGGTGTCTTTCAGGATTCCTTTTTTCAACTCCCCTGTCCAGTCAACAAGTCTGAAATGTTCAGATGGTCTCCCATCTAATACTGTCCAGGACCAGACCTCCCTAACTTCTGAGATCACCAAGTCAATTAGCTAAAGCTATTGAGATAAATAATGCAAATTGTTTCCCAAATCTTAAAAAAGCAAACTTTGTGTGCTTAAATCCTTTAACAGCAAATTGCCTTCAAAAATCTTGTTCAGCGAAATCGTCATGCAGAGCAGCAAGCAAATAGACCACCAACTTCTAATTCTGTCATTCACTTGCCATTTATCATAGTGAACACCAGCAAGAAAACTGTAATTGATTGCAGTATTTCTAATGACAAGTAAGTTACTACTACCCAGAAAAATTATTTCTTTTGGTTTTGTAGATATAGTATGTAGATTGTTGAATAGAGTGATTGAAGGTTATAAATGCTTATATTATTGTTAGTTGCAGGATAATATTATTGTTAGTTGCAGGATAATAAATGTTTATATTATTGTTAGTTGCAGGATTTTCCATGCCAATCATAATCTTTGTATGAATTTTCAAATTTATATATGGGGACTGGTATCTGGATACAAAAAGTCATTAGTAAAGACTTTACTGTTAATTTGTTCCCATTAGACTTCAAGTGTTTAAATTTAGCTGTGTTGATGGGAGGTAGCTTGTGTTTATATGGTGAATAGTTGAACTCAATATTGAAAATAAAATATTTGAATACTAAGTTTCTTCATTGGTGGACCATGTCTGCCTTCTAACTGTACTGGAATTATTTCTTGCCTGAGGAACCACTTTCATTCTTAGTCTTTATGATTGACATGGGACCTGCTACTGTAATGTACTATAATGTAGTTGGATGAACTAGAAATCAGGACAAAGTTGTGTGAAAGTTGTCAAGCACAAAACTAGTAAGCGCACTTAGCCAGGAAAAGCCAAATGCACAGATATAGAATAGATGGTATTTGGCTCAACAGTAGTAACTGTGAGAGGGATCTAGCTGTCATAGTAGACTACAACATAAGTATGAGTCAGCAGTGTGCTACAGTTGCCAAAAAGGAACACTATCCTAGGCTACATCAACAGAGAGATAGCATCAAGGTTCCAAGAAGTGATAGTATCTCTCTAATGGGCCACATTTGGAATACTGTGTTCAGTTGTAGTCACCATGAGACAAAAAAAAAAAAAAAAATGCTGAGGCTCTAGAAAGAGTATAGAGAAGTGCAACAAAAAAACAAATGAGTTTGGAGGCTAAATTATATGATGAATGACGAAGGGAACTAGGTATTTTTAGCTTAACAAAGAGAAGACTTGAGAAGACATGATAGCAGTCTTCCAATACTTTGAAGGGCTATTACAGGGCATCATTTATTCTCCATAGCTTCACTTAGTGACCACAGTTGAGGCCAGCATCTGTGTTGCTAAGCAAAACATGTGACCATGACTGACTTTGAGGTCACTTTTCATTTAGTTGTTAAGTCACTGCAAGTTGTTCAGCAAGACATCATGTGACCATGACTTGGGATTTTATTGCCAGTTTCTCCATTGACTCTGTGATTGGGCTAGATGAAGCATACCAATAGAAATCATAGGTTGGCTGGATTGTGCAACAACAATAAACACCTGCTGGTTGCAAAATACCTGAATGTTGATCATATGGACACTGCAATGGTTGTAAAAGCAAGGACTGGTTGTAAAGTTATTTTTTCAGCAGCGCTGTAACTTTGAACAGTCACTAAATAGGGCAGTTGTTAACCTGTATGAAGTTTTGGATTTTTGGCTAAGCTACATATGTTTCGTGAGACCTGCTACAGATGAAAAGAGCCACTCAGAGTCATCTTGAACCATAATATGATAATAATCCCACCCAATACTCAGTTTCTCGTTTGTCAGTTTTAACAATGGATCTTTGGTTCTCTGTTCGATGTTTCCAACCTATAGTCTAACCATAGTATAATGAAACTTCTCTGAAACCTGATCTGCTTGAGCCACAGGCATGTAATAAAAACATGCCTTCACTGCCTCCACTCCCTAGCAAACAACATTAGGTGACCTGTTTGATATGCTTCAGGTGTGCTTTATAGATGTTCCAGTCGCTGCATATTTGTAGCTTTGCACATTTGCAGCTTAGAGTTTAATGTAAAGCTGCATTGCCTATGCAACTGAAGGCATTATTTGATTTGTTGACCTTGTAAACACAAACTGCTTCTGATCCTGGAGCACTGGCACCAGAACAACCATCAATATCAGCACCATAAAAGAAAAAAAGGTATAAACTGACTGCTTTTTCATTATTAAACTCTTTAGGATTTATTAAAGATTAAACTCTTTTAAGCTTTGTTTTACTGATAGTAGCACCATTAATATTGATGTCATCACCATTTCCATTCTTTCTTTACTTTGTCTCCTACCATTTCCTGTGCTACTTTTATTAAAACACTATTTGGGAGTGACCAGATTACAGACTCAGTCTCTGGAAAACAAATTCAGAACCAATTGCCAAGCAACTGTCATTCTCAATTTTGAACCTGTCTATCTATTTTTCTGTAACTCATAGCAGATCTAGTCTAGTGTCCATTCTGTTTCTAATTTTCAGGTACAACTCTTGAACAATACAGTGTTTTGTTTTTCCCATTGTCATAATGAGCTTTACTCTTTGAATATATTGGATCTAGCAGGAAATAGACTTTCTGGGTTCAGTCATGAGCCTTGTCTCCAAAAATCCTCTTATGCCTCAACATTGTCCTGAGGCTGGTCAGCCATTTCTTGACCCATGAGACTGCTGTTCTCTCAGCAGCAAGGTTTGTGATTATTATTGCATCTAGAAGCCACAACTTACAGTGAGCAAATGTCAATCCACAGCAGATCCTCTGTCATTAACATATTGAAAGATACTATCTAATGATGCTGGTCTTGCAGTTGGATAGTCATTCCCAGCTAGATAAGAATTCATGTTCAGTTTCTACCTCATTTGAATAATTTTCAGATGTTTTCCTGAACCAATTTTACTCCTATAAAGCATAGTATTAATAGCAAATATTGAGAAGAAGCTTGATGAATAGGTAAGAAGGGTTTTTTTTTCTGTAGTGTGTTTTCTCAGAGTAGTTTACCAAGCTTACCTAATGAAATAACATTTTCTTTGGGTAAACACGATATTCATAGCATTACCAAAATTTTCAGTATTTAATACTTTGGATTACTAAGTAGCAGATTAACACAAGGCAAGATTCAGGAGAGTGCAATAGAAACCATTGTAGAAATTATTGCCCTTCAGCAGTATGTATGACTACATTGTGCAGACCTTTTGCAATGTCTAAGACCCAAGTTAAAGAATTTCAGGGCAATAAATAGTTTAGTAAAAAGGCAGGTAATGCATTGGATCATGTGCTAAAGAAAATGTACATGTATACCATACATCTTAGTACGGTATTCTACAATCTTACCATGCTTCTACACATTGTTGTATGTGTATTGCCCATTGTTTTTGAAGTCAGCAAGGAACTGTACATGTCATGTTTTCCATCCTAAACCTACCTATTGTAACAGGTTCAGAAAATAGCATAGAAAACTTTCAGCAAATAGAAACTGAGTCGAAAAAGAAAGGCTGAAAGAACAGGGAATGTTCAGCTTGAGAGGACTGAGGGGGAACAAAATATTCTTCATATACACAAAAGAATGTTGCACAGAAATGTTAAGACTTGTTCACCATTATTAAGCAATACAAAAAGAAGATAATGTATCCAAGTCTTAAGAATAACTTTTGTAGCCAGCAGGTTGGAAAACATGCAAATAGTAATCACATGATCATGGGTTGCTGTGACAGTCGCAAATGTGTAGATTGATTGCAAAGCTTTTTTTTTAACATCATCATAACTTTGGTTACTAAATAAAGTAGTTAGTAAGCCAGGGCTGCATATAGAATTCCACATCTGAGCTAAGTCAGGCTTTTATTCTAAATAATTCACAGTAATGAAAACGATGGGAACCTTTATCCAATTCTTCTAAAGAATTGAATGCTTAGTTATTGGTGATACACTTTTATATGATTTCCTAAACTAGAATTTTTCCTTTTCTTTTAAAGGATGTTGATTTGCCTTAATAGTTAACTGATGTATATTTATTTATTTCAGTGGATACCAATGGTATTCATGACATTTTTATCATTTTCCTATTATCAGGGATATTCTTTCTCAATCTTACTGCAGGCCCTGTTTTCAATTTGGCACAGATATACTTAGCTTCTTACAGGGTTCAGAACTCTTATAGTTTTCAAACCTCTTTTACTTCAGCAGAGGTGTCCACTGACAGACAATATATTGGCTTTGCCTGCTCACCATAATAATTTCAGATTGGTGCATCCAGTAAGATATCGCACCATTTGCAATCTGTCCCAAGCCATGGCTTGTAATCACTGTATAAACAAAGGATCATCACTGAACATGACTAGCAGCTAAGCTTAGCAGAACTTTATATATTCTTCAGCATTGGAAAAGAATAAAGATAAATTCTGCCATGCAGAAAAGACGTATTTGTGCACAGTATTATTGGAGAGGGAAGGGATTGGAAAGAACTCTTATGACCTATTTCTCATAAGTCTGATTTTTTTCCATCTTTATCTACTGTTGCCCTTTCAGAATTATGGAAATAAATTGTACCAGCAATTAAGATAATTGCTATTTAGTCTTTCGATAAGCTACATAAAGATAAAATTGATGTAGTGCTAGGAGTTTTTTTTTTTTTAACTTAAAGATAGTTCTGGCATTTCAGTATGGGAAAAAAAAGCTGATAAAAAAGCCTTTTTTGTTTCTTGCCCTCAACCAGAATAAGAGAAATTACTGCATTCATTAAAATACAATATAAGGGGATTTTTCATAACACTTTTTAACAGAATAAAAATAGTACAAATTTTAAGTTAAAGATGCTAGAAATAGAGAAAAGGTGTAGAAAAGTGAAAAATGAAATAGAAATAGAAAATTTAAAAAAATAAAGAAGTGGCTTCCGATCTTATCAGCAGTTATAAATACTTTTATTCTTTGCCTTGTCTAAGGTGGAAACAGAACGCAAGGCTTATATAAGGGATATGGGAGATCATCCAGTGCAGTGGTGGCAAACCTATGGCACAGGTGCCAGAGGCGACACTCGGAGCCCTCTCTGTGGGCACACGTGCCGTTGCCCCAGCCTCGCCTCCCCCCGCAATCCCCTCCTCTCCAGCAGCCCCCCTGAAGGGGAGTCGGCCTGAGCATGGCCCACACGGAGCAGAGCACAGCCAAGGACATGGCAGCCAGGCAGCCATAGACAAGACTCTGCCCTCACACCCCATCATGCACAGTTGATGCTGCAGGGCGCGGGCAGAGGGTTGACTGCCTTAGCACTGCTGGGCTGCCTGGGGGATTTGCAGCGGGCCCTGGAGGCAGTGAATGGCCCTGCAGGCGGGCAGGGGATGGGAGGCGGGGCGGGGGCAGGGCAGGGGGTGTAGCCAGGGGCAGGGCCAGTTTTTGGGCACTCAGTCTCTAAAAGGTTTGCCATCACTGATCTAGTGCAATCCTTTGCCAGTGCCCATTACTATAGCATTTGGAACAGATGGCCATTTAACCTGTGCTGAAACATTTCCAGGGAAGGAGCATCTGCCACCTTCCAAGGCAGGTCCTTTGTTATTGGACAGCTTTTTCTGTTAAGAATTTTTCACTGATACCTGGCTAAAATCTCCCTTATGTAGGTAGTCCCCGAGTTATGAGCATTCCCTTAGTGAATATTCGAAGTTACACGATAAATGCCCCCTAGTGCGTACGAGCAAATCCCGAAATTATGAATGTTGCCGCACCATGGCAGTCGTTTACCCTTACGAGCGACCCCAGTGGCTCTGCAACATTCACTCTGGTTATTCCTTCCTTCCCCACCCCTGCTCTAGGCACTAGGCCTTCAATACACTGTGAAACTTGAAATCCTTTGCTTTCTTGGCTGCTCCAGGCCTTCGGTACCTTCGCAGAGAATGGATCAAGCAAGATCAGTGGAAAAAGATCTCACGCTACTGATCTCGCGTGATCTCATGGTACTTTAGGCCTCTGTTCTCTAACAGAACGGAACCAAAGCTGGGGGGTACTTTGCATGCCTCTGGAGGCTGGAAGTCTTTTCCAGGCTGCTGCCTGAGGCTGGGGATGGTCCCATGGCCCTCTGGAGGCCTGAGGCTGGGCATTGGAGGCCTTTTCCAGCGGCCTAGAAAAGACCGGTGCCCGGATCGGACCTCTGGATGGCCACGGAAGCATCCCCCAGCCTCGGATCCGGGCGGCAGCAGCCTGGAAAAGGCCTCAGATGCCCGGATCCAGCCTCAGAGGTGCGCAGAAGTGTCTCCCATCCTCAGATCTAGGCTGCAGCAGCAACTGCAGCAGAGAGGAGACGGATCTTTTCAAGATGAGTCCAGTGAGGCTTTGGGGGCCTGTTCCATCACTAGTCTCTCCATGGCCTTCCCCACCCTGAGATACCTGATGCAGCCTAAGATTTGTTGTTTTTTTAATATACTTTTTGCAGTAGCTTCACACTAGACTCATGTTCATGTAGAGATTCACCAAAACATTCAACTCTTTTTCACATGTATTTTGCATAGTATGGTTCTCTTATATTATACTGACACCTTCAATTTTTCCTAACCATATGGGACATTTTGCATCTGTTCCTGTTGAAACTCCTCTTGCTGATTTCTGCCCACTGTCCCATCTTGTGAAGATCCTCCTCAGTCTTTATATTTAAATATGAATAGCACATGGTCTGGAACATAGTCCCATAGTATATCCACTCGAAATGTCCCCCTCCAACCTGATGTAGAGCCATTGCGTGTGATTGTTCCTCTCTGTCCATCCATCCATCCAAATTTATTTGCTACCCCTCTTGCAATGAAACAACTCTAGGCGGTGAGTAAATTCACTAAACAAAAATTACAACAGGCACCCTTCATTTTGGTACTGACACAACCAAAAAAACCTCTATGACAATTCAAATGTTACACTGCACTGTTTCACAGCAAGGATGATACTCTTCAGTCTTTAATATTTTAATGTGATACTCACTAGAACGTTAAAATTTTAAAGAGACCTCTAATTTCACCTTTGGTGATCTTTTGAGTCAGTTCCAAACCCATGGAAAGTTGCTGTATGTAAGACATCCCCCGAAAATAAACCCTAATGGGTCTTTTGGTTCTCCCCCCCCCCAAATTGTAAGATCTGGTCTTATTTTCGGGAAAATACAGTATTACTATTGGTACTACCTTTGCTTGCTTTTGCCACAATCATTTTGTTTCTATTTGCAGCTCTTTGAATTTTGTTATCTTCTCCGGTTCTTCTTCTTCTATTCTGCTGTCTCCAGGAACTACTATGTCCACCATTGAGATTTTTTTGTCTTTCTTTCAGTCTGTGCCATCTTTTTGCAACAGCTAATCAGATTATCCACTGTTTCTTCAGCTTCTTTGCAGAGGTGGCACTTGCTATCTGTTGCTGTCTTCTCAGTTCTGGCTTGTATGCATTTGTTCTTAAGGGTTGGTCTTGTGCAACCAGAATTAGCCCCTCTGTCTCTTTCTTCAACTTTCACATACATCATTCAGTTTCTCAGTAGAAAATTACACTGTTCTGTAAACTATAGTTGCTTTTGAAGCACTGTGCTATAGGTATGATCAGTATAAGTTTATATTGGGCTAAAAGGTGGTAAAAGACCATAAAAACCAAAAATTTTCTAAAATAAAAACATTTAAGCAGAATAACACTACGCATGCTTTATTTCCAAATTTTATGTTTTAATGGAAGAAGTACTTTAGAAGAAAAATACTGATACTTGTATATAATATATTGACCAACATCTATTCATTCTTTTTAGGTTTGAATATCTATTTAATTTTGATAACGCATTTGAAATACATGATGATATTGAAGTATTGAAGCGCATGGGAATGGCATTTGGACTGGAATCTGGAAGTTGCTCAGCAGAAGATCTAAAAAATGCAAGGAGCTTGGTTCCTAAAGCTCTTGAACCATACGTGACGGGTAAAGTTAAATGAAATAATTTATTTTTTAACATTTGAAATAAAACTTAAGAACAAAATAAACTGCTATTAGAACTTAACACAACTGTGATAAACAGTGCAATTTAATATAAACATTATCTGATTTGCTGTTAGCAAAATACCTTCAGTTAATAGTTGAGATGATGGGTCATTTTAATAGTTGAGATTATAACTTTGACAGCTACAGGATATAAAATACAAATTTTATCTTCTGCTTTGCTAGCCATAATAATTCTGTAACATAAAGGTAATGTTTAGTTCAGAAAACCTTAAAAGATATTGCAACATAATACATTTGATTTGCATTAGTATAACACCTTTTCATCTAGTGCTTACTGTACTTAAATAATGTAAATTATTATTTTTAATAATCTCTTTCATCAACAAGGATAAAATACAAAACAGAAAAATGAACATTCAACATTTAACAGTGAGCAGAAAAAAATTCCTGGGTAGAGAAAAAAAAACCCAAATCTCAAATAAATCTAACATTGAACATAAAAAAATCCACCTTGGCTGGATGCTGAAAAATAAATTTTAAAAAATGTATAAGTTATCCTCCCCTTACATAGCAGGTCTACAAATAGTTATAAGCTTTTCCATCCTTCCTTAACAAAAATACTATATTAAATACACAAATATTCCAGATGAGGAAGTCTGTCTAATAATAAAATTAGCCCAACATCTAATTATAGCATATGTGAAAAAAAGAAAAGAAAAAATAAGTCAACAGGTTAGCCCAAACATTACGCTAATCTTCAAACCCCTCTGTTAACTATCTATTATTGTATTTAACAGGTAGAAAGTCCACAAACAACTTTCAGTCCTTTATTATGTTTTCTAGTCCATTGTCTCTAACCGGCAGTTAATTTTGCCATCTCTGCTAATTCACACTTTTAAAATCCACTCTTCAACAATCAGCAACTCTTTTCCTTTCCAATGCTTAGCAAGTACAATCCTTGCAGCAGTCACTTTGTAAAGAAATAGCATCCCAAACTGTTTTTCAATTGGTTTACTCATAATACCTAAAACAAAAGTTTCAGGTTTCATTAGTATTTGTATCTTAAATATTTTCTGCATTATCATTATTATGTTTATCGAGTATGATTTAATATGTATAAGACCACCACATATGATCAAACGTATCTGGATTTTTATTACATTTCCAACACATGTTAGAAATTCCTCTATACATTTTTGCTAGTCTGTCTGGGGTCAAATACCAATGATACATCATATTATAAAAGTTTTCTTTCAGACTGTAATTCAAAATAAAGTTTAATCCATTAGTCCATTCTCCCACTTATATAGTGTTGTGTTATACCCAAAATTTTTCACCCGTTTTACCATACAATCTTGGAAATATTCATCTTCCAGATTCATCTTAAGTAACATTTTACATATGGTACGTTAGCGATCAGGTGATCATCTCCAGAACATGAGTTGGTACCCAATTCAGATTTAACTCCTGCAAAAACAAACCTTTTTTTATCAAGTTTAAATTTTTCAAAAATTCTATAATAATTATAACAGTCAAAAACAAATCCTTCACTTACTAGTTGTTCTCTTGTTTTTATCTTAAGTCCCTCTTCTTCATATATCATTAAATCCTAATATGTCATCCATTAACATTCCAATAACATCTCTTTTCTATGTAGTGTTTCATGGGATGATAGCCAAAGTGGCACTTTATTAGCCAGTCTTTTGTATTTCCACCATGCATGCCCAATTGATTGCCAAATAGTATAATTCTTAAAACCAATAGTGTAAATTATTATGAGGTTCACATATTGTGCAAAAAACAAAACAAAATTGGTTTGTTTTGTTTTAGCTTAGCAGGTTGTATAGGCCGAGGCATTTCCTGTGGTCACAATACCATGGTCTATTTTTTAGAGTAGTATTTCACAACCAGTGATACACATACACTGATATACACAGAAGTAATCCAGGTGAGATGTATGGCACAACTCTTCTCAGTTCTTTAGGCTAAAAGAGTGGGACTTACACCTGTTAAGGTAAAAGAAGGGCTTGTTTGAGAAACTTCAGATATTGCTTTGAAAGAGTGGCCACAAAACAGGAAACATTTTTTTTCCCCCAGAATTCATCTAACTCCTTTCTTTGTGTTCTGATAACTAACTTTTTACAAAGTTGCAAAAAGGGGATAAGGCAAAAAGTACAGCAAGTCCCTAATTGAGATTAAGAACATGTTTTGTTTTCCAGTCTGTCCTTAAACCTTATTTGTATGTAAACCAGAAAAGATACTTAATCAACCTTGTCTTACTACGAACCACTGAAAACAGACCAGTGTGCACATGGACTTTGGATTGGGGGTGGGGGTTAGCACACATGGAAGCAGGGAGGATATAAAAGTGAACCGGGGGAGGGGAGCCTCAGAGATGCAGTGGTGGAGTAGTAGCAATAGCCTGCAGTACTCTTTGGCAACCATGTATGTGAGAGAAACATTGCTGGGTTCTTCCCACCTTCCCCACCATAGCCACATGGACAAGAGAGAGATGCCACCAGATCTCCCTGTCTGTAGCACTGGGGGTCCCCTTGCCAGTGCATGCCTGCCTCTCTCTTTTTGAGTTGGATGTTGTTACCAGTTGGCTGTCTGCCATTTTGAGTAAAACAGGCATCCAATTCATACCTAGAGATTGTTTGTAAGCCAAAGATTCATCATGTGGGACTTCCGGTACCTAGACAAGCAGTAGCTTTCCACTTTTGCATCACTGCCACTGCCTGATGAAAATATCTGCTCTTGGTCTTTTTCTTTTAGTCTGTACCCACTGAGTTCCCTCTGGGCCTTTTCACCTTTTGGCTTATAAAAAGCTGCTTAAAACTATCCTGATTTCACCCTAGTTTCCTTCCCTCTTACCACTTCTTGCATAGCACCAAGCTTCTCATAAAGAACCTCCAGGCCTTATCAGCCACTTCTCAACCTCACAATTTTCTTTTGCCTTTCAGCTACTAAAGGAATTGATATTTTTGTTAAGCTTTAAGCCATTGCATGTTTATTTCCTTAAAAATTCTCATAGATTATAATAGAAATATTTACTGTCACATGAAAAAGAAAGTATATCCTCTTTGAGTTCTATAGTTCTGTGTATTAGGACTTAGTGAAAATCATCTGGACCTTAATTCTTAAAAGTAGATAGATAAAACATCACATGAACAATTACACCCTGGGGTTAAAATTCAGTAAATCTGGGGCTGTATCAGTGCTGCCACATTATCATTTCTAATGCTCCCTGTCAACTTTCTAAAAGAAAAGTCAATGGGGAAGCCAGTTGGAAATTGCTTCTGCTCCAACTGCATCTTTACTTACCTCTGATCATTCTGTTTCTTTCTTTGGGTAAGAATATATCTCTGAAATAATAACCCAGTGGTTCATGGGTTGTCTATTATAAACGTAGTCCTCAGAAAGACTATTTGGTTCTATCAAGCTAGAACCCAAGTTTACTAATAGAGCAGTTGATGGGACACTAAATATGAAAGTTTGAAATGCTATATATGTAAATTATATTCACTGAAAGTTTTATTGAATTGCAGATTCATATGCTATATGTGACTGCTGTCTAATTCTTGATGTTATTTTGTCTTACAGAAATGGCTCAGGGATCAATCAGCAATGTGTATGTCTCATCCTCATCAGGTTCAGCTTCAAATGGGACAAGATTTTCTAACAGGTTGGATAAGATTGAGTTTTATGTTTAAAAACTAGTTCATAGATCCAGTATCATCTGCTAAATAGTAAAACTATATTATTTCATTTTTAATTGTTAATTGTTATACTGACTTTTTATTTAATTAAAAAGTGATCTAAATAGATATCTCAAAAACATTTTAATATACCAGCTTATCAAAAGACATCTTAAGAAATTTTCCTTTTTAGTTGCCAAAATTGACCATTTTGCCACAGAATTTGTAAGCTTCAAAGGAGCTGGGAACCAGATGAGGGCCAGACTACCTACTTCTGTCTTAAAGCTTCATACAGGAAAAATATTAAAGAACTTAAAACATGTATATAAAATGAAGCTAGGCTAGTTTTATCAGGGTCCATTGAATGGATCCTCTGCCAGTAAACAAAAACAATTCCCCATATGCTTCTTAAAAAATGGGTCTGAACTTGCTCAAGTGAAGTAGGTTTTATAGAGCCCCACAGTTCCATGCCAAAGGTCAGCACTGGGACTATTTTTGCACTAAATACTTTCAGTATAGGTGTCAAGGTACCTTGGTAATTGTAATTAGAACATAGAACTTAGAATAAGAGTTGGGACCTTGGAGGTCATCTGGTCCAACTCACTGCATGAGCAGGACAGTCTATACCATTACAGACAAATGGCTGTCCAGTCTCTTCTCTAAAACATCCAGTGATGGGGCACCCACAACTTCTGAAGGCAAGGCATTCCATTGGTTGATTGTTCTCACCATTAGAAAATTTCTCCTTAGTTCTAGGTTGCTTCTCTTCTTGATTAGTTTCCATCCATTGGTTCTTGTCTTGCCTTCTGGTGCTTTAGTTTGTTCCCCTCAAGTACTGGAGCTCTACTATCATATCTCCCCTAGTCCTTCTTTTCATTAGACTAGTCATACCCAATTCCTGCAAATGTTCTTCAAAACTGGATGCAGTATTCCAAGTGTGGCCGTACCAAGGCTTTGTAAAGCGATACTAATACTTCCCACGATCTTGATTCCTCTGTTAATGCAGCCCAGGCTTGCATTGGCTTTTTTGGCTGCCGCCACACACTGCTGACTCATATTTAAGTGATTGTCCACTAAGACGCCAAGATCCTAGTGTAAAAACCTTACTTTTATCCACATTGAATTCCACTAATTTGTAATTCATTTAATAATAAGTAATTCATTAATTCATAATTTATATAAAATAGTTTATAGTAGTTGCCACAGTTTAATATTTGGCCTTAGGAGTCTGCAGTTACCCACTCCTGGCTAAACATATTAATTGGGAAGGTGAAATTAAAAGATTAATGCAGTTCGCTCATTTTGCAGTGACTACTCAAACGGAGGAGATGGAATGTTGGCTACAAGTTCCAATGGATCTCAATACAGCGGCTCCAGAGTAGAGACACCAGTGTCTTATGTTGGGGATGATGACGATGACGATGATGATGACTTTAATGAGAATGATGATGATGACTGATACTTTTTGCCTGTAGACTTTTTTATTTTTAAAATTCAGCAAGCGGCAGGAATAAATTCTAGGAAGAGATTGTCAAAATTGTCCCATCAAGGAGATACTGGTAAGAGTCTGAATTTAGAAAATTGCACCTCCAATAAAGTAAAGATTGTTTGTTTTTTATGTAGATTTTTTTACATGTGATGAGGATGTGTGTGTTAATACCAGTGTGTTAATGCAGAACTTTTATTTACTTTTGCTTAGGATTTTTAACTTGAAGGAAAATGCATTTTGCCCCTAAATGTTGTCATAAAGTTTGAAATGTAGCCACATTTAATGGAAAATAAAATCTGTCCACCTGTCAAAATGCATATATGAATGGCATTTTATTGAGATTGAATTTAGGTGACATCGTATTGATGCATAGTAATTAAATGTAATACTATATTTTGCTGATCATGCCATGTCCAAAGAATCAAACAAAAAATGATCTTTTAAATGTTAGTTTGCAGAAATTGTATGAATTTATTTCCCTTTTTAAAATTATACTGATCATTGTAAGCCCATCAAATTCTATATACTATGTTTGCTGAAGTTAGAAATATGAGTTATGATTTGGGGGCAAATGTTTACTGCCAGGCTGGTATAGCTGTGTAAATGTCTTGAAAGTTTAGAATGAGTTTTGCTTATGATAAAAATTTGCCTGATTTCTTACAGGCAGATTTTGAAAACAATTTGTTACATAGTTGTTTACATACTTAGAAGTCTATGGTATAAAAGACATGTACTGAAACAAATGGTTTATATTTGTTTCATAAACATCTTCCAGTAATCTATTATAAAGTTGAAATTAAATATAGAGAATGTTTTATGTTTAACTCAAAACTTGTCAATCACTTTTAATACTTCATTTTTTATAAAAAAAAACAGAACAGGTAGTAGTCTTTTTAAATTTATTCACACAGATTTAACTGCACAAATACTGTCAGCTGCCTGTTTTAAGACAGAAGTCTTTTTACTGAAACACAAATAAATTTTCTGTAATATTTTATGGCATATAAGCAGTTTGTTTTACTTGTTTAATTGTGGCACTATTAGTTTTTATTAATAAAACACGCGTGGGCATTTTTAACAAATATTTTGTTTCTCTAATCAAGATTATTTTCACCTTCTGCTTTGTTGTGTTTGACTTATCATCTGGTTCTTCAGTATGGAAGAGTCTCAGAGCTCTTTTAAAGGGTAAGTAGGGAGATATATCTATATCTATATGATGAGAGACAACAGCATGCACTGATGATTGCTAAGTTCTTGGGAGACTGCATTCACTCCTCAAATATGTAAGTGATTAAATGTGTATTCCTAGTAATATGTGTCATTATATGACCAGTCATAAAATACACTTTTATACAAATAAAACTGATAAGGTTGTTTCAGAATGCGTCTTTCAGTTTCCCGTTCTCCATCTTAATTTACCTCCTGTCTCTCTCCCCCCCCCCCTTATCTCACATAAGAGGTACGGTTCTAAACAAATACTGGCCTACAGCTCTCTGTTTTAACAGTCCCTCTTTGTATATACTTTATTTCTTGAGAATAAATATTCAGCTTGAGGCTGGTGCTTTGCAGCATGCTAGTTTGCCATTACATTTATTCTTTATTTTTAATACTGAAGCCTGCTAGCTACCAAGGAAGGTGTCTATGTGCACATTGATATAGTCAATGTTGGGGATTCAGAATTGAATACGATAAAATGATGTGAGACTTTATATATTCTATCAGTATAAAATACTTCATTTTATGTATCAAATGGTAGCTATTCTGAGTACTGTATATCACATCAGATAAGTCCACACTTTGTTATTTTGGGATTTGTTCAAGAAATAGATATTTACACATTCAAAAAATTTGAAATCCTTATGTACAGCAGGAATTGAACTGCTAATGATATATAGAATTACAAACTTTATAGAATCACAATTTTTTCTCCCCATTGTACCATTTTCAGTTATTCTTACCACTGTGAGCCTTAGAAGATTCTCAGATTCATTATTAAGCTGTGCAATGAACTAATTCCCCTACATGCCTGAACGTGCTTTGCAGTTGCATATGAAATTTTACTGATATTTGAGTGCCTCTCCAGAGTAGGAAACATTTTACTAAGCTAGTAATTTAAAAGCATGTTAAATGCAAATATCAATAGCTCTAAATGCCTTTTTACATTTTACTGTTATATATTGATATAGTAGATTGGTATATATCCCCATGGTGTAGAAGCAAAAAGCAGATGCATCAACAGAATGTTTGATGGACATCTTCATTACAGATAGCATAATGTCACAGATGGTTGCAACGTTCTGGTCTTTCCCTTATGGACCAATTCTGGTGGTACCCCATTCCCTCTCCTCATTTTTAATTCATTTCAATAACTTTTTTTAATATCCATAAACACTGCTTCCACTTTACCTACCTGTCATCATCATGCAGGTGATGAATTTGTTGGAAGATTCATTATGAAAATTATCTGGCTCAATACATGTACTTTATATATACATAAGTGCATATGTTTTTATGCGTAAGGTAGGTTTCAATTATTAAAATGCCTTCATATTAAGATAATTTAGGTGCTTTAAAGTAACTTGTCCAACACAATTGCATCAAGCCCACTTTAAAATATGCTAAGTCATTCAATTTAAAATAAGTTTCCACTGAGGCCTCTGTCAAGCAAATCAGTAATTTCTGAAATAACAGTGATACAATTAAACAACAATAAAAAAACAATACATAAGATAGTTTTAGATCAGGGTATGAAACATTTTCATATTTAGGGTCTTTGTTTTTGTTTATTATGTTGTTGCTGGAACTACAGCACTGAAGCATTGTGGATTTTCTTCCAATGTATTCTAATACTGTCAAGTGAATTAGTTAGCTTTGTTTTACAATCAATAAGATTATTGTTCCCAGGTTCAGTTTACTGCCATTATTTTGGAGTTTCTAGGGTCACAAAAAAAAGAGGTTCAGGAGCTATATTTGATTCAACAGCTTTTGTTTGTGTTTCTTTCATATACTAGTTCTTACTTTTTTCTTGAAATATGTTGAGATGCAAAGCAGTGTTTTTCTTCCTGCCCAATTTATTATATGAATTCCAGAAATAATTTATTATGTTTTAATATTTTTCAGTATATAAATAGCTGTTTATTACATAACTTTACACACATTCAGTGGAATCATATCCCATTGCCAAATATGCAGTAAACCAGGAATATGTTTGGTATTCTCAGGGGTGTGGAAAAATCCAATAAACATTTCTAATAAAGCATACTAGATAATGAAAAAAAACTTTATACAATTGATTGTCATACAAAACTACATAATACATAAATTCTTTGTGCAGTTTTTATAAACCTTGATTAATTTTGTATCCGAATTTTGAATTCTACTTTTCCTTCATATGGATCATGTGGATTATCTGAAGTAATTCCAGTGCCGATAACTCTGCATACTATGTGTACTTCTTTGTTTAAAGAAATGTTGAGAAGTTTCACTGCTACCAATGGATTAGTATAGGTAGGCTGAGATGGAAATACATATGACAAATGTTAATAAATATATGCAGCAAACCTATCATAACAGAACAGGTTGAAGGGAAAAAAGCATACCTGTGCCTTGAGTCCATAGTAAGGGAAGTAGTGAAGGCTAAAAGTTCCATTTGCAGGATAATATGCTACTTCAAGTGGGCTGTCATCCTTCAGTTGACCATAAATAAGGTAAGTATTAGTGCTAGTATGAGATAACTTTGAGACTCAATGTATATTATCATACAGTATGTAAATGCATCATATAGCAGTATAGCCATATTTTCTATTGTGTGTGAGTTTAATTGGTCTTATTTGGAAGTTTCATTATTTAAAAGTAAATATGTCTAATAGTGTATCAGTGAAATGTCATCTGCATAATACATATCATCGTACAATTTCTGCAAACCTCAGGAGGCAAGATTTGTTTCACTTGCCAATTTAAGTATGTGGTTAATAATTGAGATTGCATTTATTTTAATAATTTTGTGGAGGCATATGAAAGGTTTTGAAACATCCTTGAGAGGAAAGCAGATGATTGATACCTAGGAAGCAAAGGTGAAAAGTGTGGGCTGCCTGAGATCTGAAGAACCTTGTAATGCATACTTACTAGAGTTGTGCAATTCACTTTTGGTGCAGTCCCGTTGCCAGGGAGAAAATTGATAATCTGTAATACAATTTCCTTGTTAAAAGTTTTGCAATTTAATGTTAATAAATCAAGTGTAGGCATTCAGCAGCTGTAGAAATTAAATGTTTACGTCCACCAAACAGAAGATTTTCCCATCCTTTTGTGATTGCTGCAACTGATCTCAGTACTTTGCTTTTTCTATGTATTTGACTCCAAAATTTGTTTTTCTGTCTTGGGTGTCATGAGAATTATTAAAATTGGGCATATTCAAGCTTGCTTCATTTGCAGGTTCATGTTGTAACAATATTTTTATAATCCTTTGCAGAACACAGTGCAGAAAATAATAAAATACCTGTCAGCAAAATTTCCTTTAACTATTAGTTGGTTTTAAACTATGCTTTTCACATCTGGTATTATACTTACTCTGTTCATCTTTATTATTAAGCATGGACTTCCTTCAGGAAAACCAAAAGTGGAATCCGTCAAACCAGAGCAGTTTTCAAGCATATCTTTTGTAAATTTGCAAGAATATTTTTCATTATTTGGAGCATCAAATGTCTTTTGGTAGAAATAATTTTCCTGACTACAATTTTTGTGGCTTTCTTGCATAGTTTCATTGTATGCTAAAGTGAGAAAGTAGAAGAAAAATAAACATTTTCTATTGCAGGTAAATATAAATAATAAATAGTTTATATAATAAATTCAAAAAGTACTTGTTCTTGCCTTTTACCGAATTCTAAGCTTCTGTAACTTGGTTATTTCAGTTATTATATGCAACAGTGGCCTAATTACGTTTTGCCAGATGGGAAAGGTAAGTCAGATTGGAAACAGCTGCCAAGTATTTCTTGGGTCCCAACTAAATCGGAGTGGCCAGGGTCATGTGTAATGCTGAGCAAGCCATAATAATCTGGTTTGTACAGTACTAAGCCATAATCATTTGTCTCTCATATCACTCCTAGCCAAAATGAAATGTCTCAAATAAGTTCAAAGCCATTGTATATTGGAGAGGTGAACTCTGTCTTATGATAAGCATCTTCCTTGCAGTAAATTTGATGTGATAAGACACTTTTGGGAAGCAAAGTCTTGAAAATGCTGGTTAACAGCTTTCCAAACTCTGTGCTCTCAAGGATGTCCTGCCTAGCATGGTAATCATAATTATAATATTTCAAGATAGAATGTTAACACTGATATACATTTATTTGTTTATTATTGTTGAATTGTATATTTTTATTCTACTGGTAGCTTTGTATTTTGTGAACTATTGTGAAATTTTTGGAATATTTATGAGTTCGACACAAATACAAAACTTTAGAGTAATCCATCTGTTTAGGACAAATAAGGAAGGAAGTATGAATTTTTCAATGGTACTTAGAACCAACTGTAAAAAAAATAGTGTTTTTCCTCCACCATGCACTTTGGTAAAGAAATCTGCGTAGGCAGAAATCAATATTTAAAATTGTATGAGCACTCATGCTCATATGATTCATGTTTTCCTCTGGAAATGACATAGAACAATGTATATAGAACTTGTACTAAAGTTACAACGCAGAGTTGACATTGACATTTCAATTACAGATAATATACGATCATATATTTTAGTAAAATGCAAGCGGAACATTGAAATTGTTTACCCTTTTTGTAGTCAGTTTTCTCTATTAAATTGCCTTATATTGTCCTGTTCCTGTTTTTTTTTTAGTAAGAATCTTTGATAAAGGTTTTTGCATCAAATACTTTGTTAATTGGAACTCAATCTATCCTGTATTTTATTTTCAAGTTTGTTTTCCTTTTCTTTGTAACCTTCAATTTTTCAATAGAACGTCTACCGTTTCCTACATTATTTGCATATCACTGTTCCGCCTTTACCTGAAAGAAATTTCTGAAGTGTTAGAACATAACCATCCCAGGAAGACTGCTGAGAAATGTTATAATAAATTTCCAATCCTTTTTCTCCATATACATCTGGTCGTAATGTCACTCCTTTAATGATAAATCAAAAATAGAAGAACAAAAATACAAAAACTACAGTTTGCTTATCAAGTCTTTTTCATCAAATCTAGCATGAAGTAAAATTTAAAAGCAAAATATATTTTAGCAATGTAGTCTTTAGCTGTCCAAAAATCTATATTCTCAAATTACATATATTTTGTCATGAACCTACTACTGTTTTTTTCCCTTGGTTAATAAAAATGGCCATTGTTTTGTTAATTATACTTTACCCATCACTATATGTGATAACATTAACTTTAATCCATATAAAATTCTGTATTTGCAACTTTTTTAATGCTATATAACTCATACATTGGTCAAACTGGTAGAAATGCAGCTTTTTGCTTGCGGTTTTTCTTCCTGCATTTAAGCTGCTGGTTTTATTATTCTGTAGTATGTGATCTATTTATTCCTGTTATAACCATCCTAGGATAAAAAATAAACTAAATACTTTTGATAAGTAGTATTTATACAAGAGGTTTGATGGAACTTTTCCTCTTATATACATTTCTACTCAGAAGCCAAATTATTTGAGATCGAGGTGGATCTATAGTGCATCAATCCATCAGATTTTAATCAGTTGATAATGCTTTGAAGAGCAATTTTGAATTTCTTTTACTTCTGTTTCATAGTGTTCTCTCCCATAAATTTAGATAAGTTTATAAAATAATTTTGGGTTATATGGATTTAATAACAAAATGAGAAGAAATGTAAAAAATACCTGGTGATTTTAATCGATCTTGATAGTCTGGTGTATAAGGATTAATTGTCTTCATTAAAGAATAGATAGAAAGTGCAAATAGTCCAATGATTACCACATAGAATGCAACATAATAAAGACTAATCCATACTGTAATAAAGAAATAAATATAGATTTTAAAAATAAAAACATGTCCATTAATCTGGCTCAATAATTTAATTCAAACAAATTACTGCATTCGTATTATATTGTTCAAAATACTCTCAGCCCTGGAAATTCCTGCAGCTAAATGAGAGCTGGAAGGATGTGGATGCTAGAACATCAAGGCTACTTTGCTTTCTGAGTTTAGGATGAGCAAATGGGTGATCAGAACCGTGCTGTATAACCAAAAATGTGGAGTTCAGTTCTTTTCAGCACTCTTAAGTTTTGAAAATCTCCAAATTAATACCAAGCTATAGTCTGATCAAGTTTATTAGTTAATGCTTATTCTGGAAATTAATACATTTTAAAATGTGATGTCTGTTGAATTCTAATAGGGGAAAAGAAATTCTACAATTAACATGAACTGGATTAAAGTTCATCTATACCTATTGGTACATTATCAAATAGTTCTCAATAACCTGCTGAGGCTTCTCAAACCAATTAATTGTCTCCTTCAGAAATAATATATTGGTGAATAAACTGTAAAAAAGAAATTGGACTAATTGGAAGTCAAATGACAGCTCTAAGCAACTAGAAGCATGCACAATTTTTTTAATACTATGCAAATTATATTTGAGATTAGACCAGCTATTTCAAATTTGAAGTATGCTTAGCTAGCTTTTCCTCACATACACATGCATGCACTCTCCTTGCATTTCTAGTACATATTTCCAAATTAACCAAAGAAAAGTGTGATGTGTTTCTTTGTATTCTGAGCCCTTTTAGACTAATATTTCATTTTCCTCAGGTTTTACCAAGCCAGTTGTCTCACCTCCAAGGAAGCAGCTGTCTAGTTTCAGTGGGTTTTTAGGGCCATAAAATGTATTGAGAGTTTTCTCTCCAGGATGAATATAATCTGAGCCTGGGAATTTCTGAGATAAAGACTGAAAGAGGGCAAGCTGGAAACCCAGTAGGACAGAGCTAAGGATACAGTGGGTCCTTACCTTATCCAAATCTTGGCCTTTGCAACATAATTTCAAAGCATTTATAATCTAAATTAGGTTTAAAAGACAGTCTGAGTGAAGAGGCATCTGGCATCATCCCAAATCTATTGCTATTTATAAGAAATTTATATCAATTGGAATGCTAGCATGGACTCAGAATTATTAATTCTTTAATAATTACTATTGATAAGTAATATTAATAAGTAATATTTGGATAATTGACTTCAATGTTCTATAAAGCAGCTTTCAGTACTAATTATTGGTCTTAGATCAAGTTCCAAAAGTTCTAAAATCATACTTTTTAAAAAATGTTATTGCATACCCCAGTTAATCAAAGTTCTTCCCATTAACTGCCCTGTGTCTGGATTCCATACAAAACGCTGGAAATTTTCCATTCTCTGGCTGCAGGTCTTCTTTTCGTTCAAAGTTGCCATTTTCCACCTTGAGATCTAGGAGCTGCAGAAACCAAACTTCCACTGGTGCACAAGGATTTGGCAATCCTATTTTGGTTTTATACCTTTTTCCTCTGAAGGTCATACAGATTATATCCATCACCAGCAAAAACAGATAAGAGCACATACGTGCCCACAATCACTTTTTAAAAGTAATTTGATAAGCATTTTTATTGGTTAATCAAAAACTAATAGCCATCAAATGTTCTTTTCTCTTGATGTTACTTTCTTTTCAGAACTTGTTATACTTTCAACACAATAGGTGTTATCAAAACAGATACAATAGTAACAGCTTCCCTTGATAAGCTGCATACATTGTATGTGCGTAGTTTTGAGTTCCTGTCAGCATACATTCAAGTGGAGATTTCTCTAGAACATTCCAATTACAATTCATAACCCCTCAGAAGCTGACAAGTTGTATTTGATTTTTAAGTAAAATGACTGAACAACTGATATTCTGCTGATATTGTCTTTTTGAGGCATAGACATGTTAAAGCCTTAAACATGAACATGTCTGAAGAACTGAAAAGTTATATAGCAAGTGAAAACTAGTAAAACCCTAGTATTAAAATCTTATGTTTGCTATACTCAATAGCACTTAATTTTGATCAGACATACATAGTACTATGCTTAAGATCTTATTTAAAGATCTTATTTTTGATGAGCAATTGAGTATACATGATTGGCAGACATACTGTATCAAAGCTAAAATTGTTTAAAAATTTATATGTTCAAATTCACTGCAAGCCAGCATGATGTAGTGCAGATATGTCAAACACAAGGCCCGGGGGCCAGATGCGGCCCACAAAGTGGTTTCATGTGGCCCATGAAGCCGTCCTGGAAACAGTGAGGGAACGGCCCCTGCTGCCTTGGCCCTGGCCCAGGCCGGCCAGGAGCCAATGTACAAATTTGTGGTGACCATCTATGCTAAAATGCATTCAGTCTTAGCTCCACAAGGCTGTCTGGAAACAGTGAGGAACCAGCCCCTGTCGTGTCGGCCCCACCTCCTGGGTGCATGCTGGGGAGGTGTCACCATTTGTGAGGAACGAAGAAATGCACCATCGCTTGGAAGGGGCCAGCAAATGGCCCTCGCCTACTTCACATATCTGGCTTGATAGACTCTGCACTGGTCCCACCCCTTTCTGCCAGAGACCCTCAGATCTGTCCCACTCCTGCCCAGGCCCCCACAGGCACCCTTGACAGGAATGATGTAGAGCTGGCCACGCTCACCCAGTAGGCTGCACCCACTCCATGCCCATCCAGTAGGCTGCACCCACCCTGGCCACACCCACCCAGCCCCCCGAGGGCAACCGCAATGCTGATGCGGCCCTCAATGAAATTGAGTTTGACACCCCTGATGTAGTGGATAAAATGCTAGGTTGTGTGAGAAAAAATCCAGATTCTGGTCCTCTTGAGGCACAGAGCTGGATGACCTTGGACCAGGCACTTCCCTTCAGAAAATGTCATTGTCTTAGGTAGAATATTCCTTCCGCTCTATTACAAAGACTATATAAGGTGAGGATGTCCATTCTTTTGATGACCAAGAAACAACTTTAGTATCTGAGAGATGAGAGTTGGGAATGTATTTTTATAACCACCATTTCCCACTTCAAATGGCCTGAAACTATGTAGTCAGCTTTTTGTCATCATGGTCAAAGAAAGCATTCAGGTTTTGCAATCTTGGGGTTGTGAGTTGCCCATCCCTGACTTAAATAGAATGAAAGACAAAACATCTCCATTATCAGAATGGAAATGATTCGTCATAGCCATTTTTTAATTCCCCTATTATAATGTGTTATATTTAGGAAAAGTCAAATATTCTGGGTATTTTATTTAAAAGACTTATGTAGTCATCCTTATTATGAACCATAATCCTGGGCAGCTCACAAAAAACTAAAAACAAAACTTCTTGACAATCATAACAAAACCTCAGATTCCTGGATAAGATAGAGTTTGTTTAGTTCTCTGTTTTTATTGAAATTTGATTTTCAGAAGTCTGCTTTTCACGTCTGTGTGTAATGAGGTATTTTGTATACTATACTGTACTTTAATCCTTGTGATGGTGAAATCATGAAAAATATTTGTGGAATATTCTTATACTGATCCACAAGAAATGTTTGCATATATGTTGATTCATATTTTTCCATAGTGAAAATATGTACATTTATTGTATGTATGTATGTATGTATGTATAAATATATATATATATCGTATCCTTGGTATTTTCAAATATTAAAGCCTATATTCAATATAATTAATCTCACTAATTCAGTACTGCACATTCAACTTAAGTCCCTAATTTCCTGTGGTGTTTTTTTTTTTTTTTTTTTTTGCTCTCTTATGTAAGATTATTATATCAGCTGCTTACTTAAGAAATATCTAGCTCTGCATGTACAAGGAAATTTTCATTGGTGCTTGGGAGATGTTTTCCATGTAACATTTCTTTGTTGTACTTTGCACTGTATCTGAACATACTGATTACTTTTCATTTGTTGCCCTTGAGTTCACTAGTGACACAAAGGACAGCCAAACTTTCATGTGAAGGTTACAGGAGAAATTATATGAGAAAGTTTTTAAAAATAGGTAAAATAACTAGTTCCAAATAGCTTGTTCAATATTTGCTTCATTTAACAATGCAGAATTTAAAAAATGGATTCAGCTAAGGGCATTATTATATGCTTAGAAGTTTCAGGATTTTACCTTACTGTATTGTTAATATGATTAGATATACCTTTTGTGACAAAAGTGGTTCATACATATTAAAAGCCATGGCTTATAAAATAACAAATGTCTAGGTTCATGCATTACATAAAATCACAAGCCGTGATTAATAAATTGCAAATGGCAAGTCCTTTCAGTTCTCCATTCAAAATCTCAATGAAATGTAACAAGTTTTTTAAATCAGTTCTTATATAATTTTGCTAAATTATATAAAAATCTAGGAAAAATGATAAAAATCTCACAAGATTTAGGCAATGATTTGGGAAGTTAGAAAAGGCCCTCCTCTCCATGCAGCCTTACCTAGAAATGGCTGACAGAGTTGTCCAGTTGGGTTGCAAATGAGAAGCCTGACTTCAATCCCGAAAAAAAAAATGGCTAGATCCCAGTAGCATTTATCATTCAAATTTGTTGCATTCTAGGTTCTGCATGGTCAACGGTCTGCAGACTGAGAATATGTTTTGAGCCTAAGATCCATTACTCACCTTTAATAAAGCCTTATCTAGCACCTCACCACTTAAGTTTCTCTTTAATAGGTTAGAACAGGGGTCCCCAGCCCCCGGGCTGTGGACTGGTACCAGCCCGTGGCATGCCAGCAACTGGTCCACACAAACAAGTAAAGCCCCATCTGTGGAATGCAGGCAGCACACAAAACCACGCATTCTCTGGTTTCTGGAAAATCCTTTCTCCACAGAACCGGTCCCTGGTGCCCAAAAGGTTGGGGACATCTGGGTTAGAACCATCATGATAACTTAAAAGTAAACCAGACTAAAAGGTTGTGTGCAGATTTCTTTGGCATATGGGTTTGTTGACGTTGAAGTGGTACGATCTGCTGAGAGGAAAGTTATAGTGCAGTGGTGGCGAACCTATGGCACACATGCCAGAGGTGTCACACAGAGCCCTCTTTGGGCACGCGTGCTGTCGCCCCAGCACAGAGTTCGCCATAATAGCTTCCGCCTTCACTTTTCCTGTTTCCGGTCTGGCTCTCTTTCAGTGGTAGTGAGGTCTGTGTGGTGATGGCAGATGTACTGGACCTCCGTATTTAGGTGAAGGCGATCAAGCCGGAGCCCGTGGAAGTGGAAGAGGACAAACTGTTTCTTCAGACTGGAGCCCCCGCTACTCTCTTGCCTGTGCTATGGCATCAGCAGAGGAACTAGCCATACCAGTGGGGCACTCACCGAGGGAGCTGCTGCTGGTAATGGAGCTGGAGAAATAGGCCGGGTGGGGGGGGAAGCTGCCCATGCAGCTGCCAGGAGGCAAAGCCGGTGGGGAAGGGGGATCGGACCCATGTGCCCCACTTCCTGGTATCCTGCCGCAGCCATGATACATTGCCTAAATCGGCCACAGTACCAGTGGAGCGACATGAGAAGCTGCAGCGGGATATCAGGAAGTGGGCACATGGGTCCAATCCCCTTTCTCCACCAGCTTCATCTTGTGGCAGCGGCATTGGCAGCTGCCCCCCAACCCGGCCTGTTTCCCTGCCCGGCCCCCACAGGCATCCCTTGCCACAAGCAACATTGAGGTGGCCACGCCCACCCAGTCTGCCGTAACCCCCACAGCCACGCCCACCCAGTGGGCCACGCTCACCCGGCACCCGGCAATAAATAAGTGGCTTTTGGGCTCAGTTTGGGCACTCTTTTTTTGAAAGGTTCGCCATCACTGGTATAGTGTCTATTTGCAGAAGATCTCTTCAGGAGGATTTTGCTACTGGAATTGAGATACCAAATACACACATTTCTATTTCCCCTGGCTGTTCACCTTCAATAAAACTATATATGTGTACACATGCACACACACATACACAGAAACACACAACATCTCTATTAATAACTGATTTCGATACCAATTTTCTTACTGTTTTAATTGTATTGTTAGCATCTTAAGGAGGTATGGGAGTTGTGAATAAAGGGTACATGCTTTAAATATATATCTGTGTTTTTGAATCCCACATTTTTTATTTGTAGATACTCTCCTGACACAAAGATGTGAATTCCAAATTTCTGGTTCCTCTTTTGAAAAGCCATTTGTGGCCTTTGCTAAAGTTTAGTGTTGTTTCTAGTGCTTCTAAGTCAAGGGTCCAAAACCATAGTGCAGTTCAACCATCATGTTCTATTTTTACTAAACATTATACAGCCAAGAAAACAAACTGATGGATCATTGAATAACTCAACCCAGAGTTCTCAGTCAAGACATGAATAACCAGCCTCATGTTATCCTACTTGAGATACATGATGCTAAAACCCAACTTTCTGGAAAAGGCTATGATGCTGGAAAAAGTGGAAGGAAAGAGAAGGGGATGACCAGCAGCAAGGTGAATGGACTCAGTTACATTGGTGGAATTTCTGTCAATAAATGAAGGTGTTGTTGACTGAAACAAACAAACCATTAGCAAGAGC